CCTTCTTGCCTTCTCTCTACCTTGCTTCTATAGTTGCCCTCTGGCCTCTTGGTACTATCAGTCTCTCCCTCTCCACCTGATAATCCGGGTAAGCAAAGGACCCCCCACCCCAAGCCCTCTCCACTCTCATCCCATCTCTGTTTCTTCAAGCCTTCCATGCCTTCTCTGTAATTATTCCACCGTGTGCTCCCTTCCTTGTCTCTGCCTGCTCCAGTTGTGCATCATCCCCCATGGCCGCCATGTTGGCAAATCCTTTGGTCATGTTTCTGTCTTCAATTCTGACTAATGGGTGATCCTGTTCTTGACATGTCCATGGGACTCCACAGTCTGGTTTCCTCCTGTTGCCCTGGTCTCTTATCTTTGGCCACCTCTGCTGGTCCCTCCTGCGCTGCCCTCCTCTGTCCTGAGCCCTCCTTATCTACCCTGGCAATCTACCCACAGTGGGAATCCCTTTTGTGTGGTCAGGAGTTGGGAGATTGGGGGAACCACCTAACGAGACTGATAGCTGTGGGGTGGGCTGTCACCAGGAAGAAGCAGGAGAGCCTCATTCATTTAGTCACCGGTCATTCAGAGGGGCAGTAACTCAGCAGAAAGTCACTTTTTAATTCAGATGAGTTGGAAACAATTTCTTCTGCCAAGGATTCATATGACAGATGCTACTGGCGGACCTTGCTTTACAGAACAAAATGTGCTTCCTGAAACATGGGCGAGGGTCAGCTTTTTGAAGCAGAATCTTTAAATGCAGTCAGAGAATCTCACCAACCCATCTTTGAGTGAATTGTAATTTTCATTTATTGAATGTTCTTAATGCATGGCCTTTTGCTTTGGGAAATAAATGGGATTCAATTGAGAAATCAATGCTTTTCTAAACTAACAATTCAGAAAATTAATTATTCTGCCAACAGATGGGTCCAGCTTCTGGAGTTTTGTATTAAAAGACTGCTGTGTACCTACTGTCCTAGCATAAGGAGTGGTAGTTCTCAAGAATGTCTTCTTCTTTAGTGGATGTGCACTGGCATTGCCTATAACCATGCTATCCCCATTTTATAGGTGAGAAAACCAAGGCACTGACAGGACTCATAACTTGGGGGGGACCTGGAAGCAGAGAGAGGAGGAAAATGTAGCAGCTGAGGGTTTGGGGAGCATGTTCCACCTTCAGGCAGGGGCTGGAGGGCAGGGGAAATGAGCGAGGCCCCACTGAGTAGGCAAGGATCTGGGGTGGGACAACAATATCAGAGGGAATGAGCACTGGGTAGTGTGAGGGGGGACTTGTCCTGGAGGTAACAAACATGACTGTGAGTGACCAGTGTTAAAACAGTATGGCATTGGCACTGGGACAGAGAGGGCAGAGGAACAGAACAACAATCTAGGAAAGAGGCTCACTCATACGTGGGGCTGTGAACATCACAGAAAAGAGAGTCATTTATAATTAGTGGGGAAAGAGTGGTCCATTCTCTAAGGGTTCGAAGTAATTAGCAACTCATTTAAAAAAATTCAGTCAGAGGCTTACCTCGCATCATTCACCAGGATATAGTCTGTGTGAATTAACACAAACACCTGCAAATGTGTTAGAGAAATATAGGAGAGTGTGTTTATGGTGCTAGTTTTTTTAAAGTAGACACAAGAAACAAAAATCAAGAGGAAAAGACTGATTAAATTGATGATATCAAATATGAAGATGTATGATAAAAGCAACTTTGTTCATAAGTGCTAATATTGGAAGTAACTAAAATGTCCTTCAGCAGGTGAATGGATAAATAATCCATGGCCCATCCAGACTATGGGATCTTATTCAGCAAAAGAAGAATAAAAAAAAAGAAATGAGCTGTCAAGCAGTGAAAAGACAGGAAGGAAACTTACATGCTTATTACTAAGTTAGAGAAGCCAATCTAAAGAGGCAATAGACTGAATAATTCCAACTGCATACCATTCTGGGAAAGGCAAGATTTGCTGAGGTTTGGGTGGGGGGAGGGGGTGGATGAGATGACTAGGTGGAACACATGGAGCTTCAGGGCCATGAAACTATCCCACACAGTAAGGGAACATACGTGCTACTCTATGATTCATCAAAAACCATAGAGTGTACAACACATAAGTGAACATTGATGTAAATGCTGGATGTGGTTAATAATAGTTAGAAATATTGGTTCGTAAGTTGTAATAAATGCACCACACTAATGTATTAATTAATTAATTAGAGAAACGAGTGGGGAGAGCACATGAAGCTCTCAGAGGGGCCATATGGGGGTGTAGGGAGCTTGCTGAAATGCTGTACTTTATGCTCAGTTTTTCTGTAAACTTAAACTGCTCTAGAGAAAAGTTCTATTAATTAAAAAAAAAAGTGTTCTCCACATGAACAAAGACAAGTAGCAAAATAGCAGACTATTTGCATCCTGGGCAACAAATAGGACTAGTATCCAGGATACATAAAGAGTGCTCACTAATGGATACAGAAGAAGATTGAAAAAAAAAAAAAAACAACTAACAAAAGACACTCATAGGAAATGAAGTAGAAATGGTCAGTAAATATGGGAAAATGCCCAAGCCCTCTAGTAGCCGGGGGAATAGGAAACTTAAAACGTTGTTGAAGTATCGTTTTCAGCGTGCAGCAGGCAGGATTTGTCATGTTTTATTGTATTGGCAAGGGTTTGGATGGTATGGCCACTCAGGAGAGCAATTCACCGGCCTTGATTAAAATTTAAAATGCATACGCTTTATGACCCAGCAATTCTTGCTGTTCATTGGAGAAATAACTTGCTGGCCTGCACAAAGAGACTTGTCGCAGGGTGTTCATTGCAGCAAAAAACTGGAAATAAAGACCATCAAGTGATTAGATAAATAATTATCCAGGAGTAGTTTGCCTCAGTTGCAAAGAACAAGGGATATCTGTTATGGACCTCCTGGCAAGTTCACCAAGAATTATGTCAATTAAAGAAAAAGAAGGTTCCCATATGGCCCACCCCTCGTCTCCTCCCCACAGACCAAGACAGGGCAGAGAGGGCCAGGTGGGCTGCTGGTGGTGGGTGTGGGACAGCCTGGGAAAGTTCTGGTCCTCCCCACCAGAACACCACCCAGGATGGGGTCTAGGCTTGCTCCAGCCTGTGGGATAGCTTGGGGGCTGAGGGGGTCTCAGCACCTGTTAAGGCCGCCCTCTTCTTAGATTTCCTGACCCAAGTGCTCCTCCCCAGCCCTGAAAAGCAGCCCTCATCCAAGGTCAGCAAGTGGTGAGACGTGTCCATGAGAGGCTGACCCTAGTCCAGAGACACCAGCAGTCACCTCTGAGTCCTCCACCTGGCTTGAGACTGGGCTGAGTGACTGGAAGGAGCCCAGCTCACAATGCCCGACTGTTCATTTCTCCCATGCTCTGCTTTTTAGTGATGTTACATTGGTAGCTTGAAACAGCTCACAGTGGGAGTCTTTTCACCGTGGAAATTGGCAGAGACTTCAAATCGGGACTCTTCCTTTTGGAAAACCAGTTATTAAACATTTACCTTCACACTGTCCCCTGCTCTCTCTCTCCCCCACACTGGGTTCTGGGACTCAGAGCCTCACTCGCTTTAGACACCTGGCCTTTCTTATCTCCACTCCTCTCCATCTTTTTTCTTTCTCCCCTTCAAGAATAGGGGAACAAGTGAACAAGGCAGCAGGGGAGGACAGAGCATTGGAGGCAGCATTGAGAAGAGTCCTGGCTTTCAGGGCATTTGGATTTGAGCACCAGCTACAACTAGACCACCTACCCTTTGTCACCTTGGACAGACTATACCAATCCCACCTCCTGTTTTCTCACCACGAAATGGGAATAATCACATTCAGGATGGCCAGACAGAGCCTCACAGGCGTGGCTCTATTTCAGCTCCAGGAAGGGGCATGCACATAGATAGAATGGTGGTGGGTCCCCTGGGAGTTGTGCAGGGCAATGGTGCATGGCCCTGATCACTGTACTTACTTCAGAGGATTGCTGTAAAGATTTAGAGATAATAATGCAGGTAAAAGAGTGCTCTATTGTAAAGGTCCATGCCAGCTACCCACACTCACCTAGGAGGGCCCCACATGCCACCATCTACCCAAGTGCCCTTGGGTTTACAGTAATCGTGGTAACTGTAATGATGGCAAGCCTACCAGGCACCAGACATGGGACTGCTTCACCTCATTTCATTCACTCTTCACTTCCCCAGCATAATCCTCATCTTAGATTGAAAGATTGGCGGCTCAGAGTTGTGATGCCTTGGCCAGGGCAATGTGGTGAAATATGGCACAATAGGATACCCACTCTGGTCCTGAGGAATTGCCAGCCAGTGGGTGCAAAGATTTTTAACCATGAGCCACAGAAAAACCTTCCATATTACAATTATTACACATGCACAGAACTGAAAATTTTCAAAAAACCATCCTTATTCCTGCTACATTTGATGGTATCAGGTATTTCTATTCCAGTCTCCTTAATTTTTTTTTTTTAATGCTGGTTGCAATTCATGAAGTTGATTTCATGACCCGCTAGTCTAGTGAGTTAAGACATGCATTTTGAAAAACTCTCTCTAGGCTTCTTCTCCCAAATGACCTTCTCACAAGCTGTGGCTAACTCTGGTCCAATGACCACTTTTGTAAATAAAGTTTTATTGGAACACAGCTGTGCTTATCCATTGACCTGTTACCTCTGGCTCCTTTTGCACTTTGAGGGTAGAGGTAAATAGTTGCACAGGACCACGTGACCCACAGACCCTAAACTGTTTCCTTTTCTGGTCCTTACCAGTGAAAGTTTGTCTATCCACACACAGCTCTGACACTGCCTCCCTCACTTAAATTTCTCCAGGGCTGCCCTTTGGCAGTAGCTCAACTCGGGCTCCGTTGCCTATGTAGAAATCCCCACCCTTGTCCTCTGGTGTTCTGGTCCCCCTCACCTCCCTTCCTCAGGGTCCATGTTCTTTCCCAGTGTGAACATGCAGGACAGAGGCAGAGAGGCCTGCCTGGCTCCCTGACGCCTTGATCTGCTCTCCCCACAGGCCTGCTGGGAATGGTGGCCCACATGATGTACACGCAGGTGTTCCAGGTCACCGTGAGCCTCGGCCCTGAAGACTGGAGGCCCCATTCCTGGGACTACGGGTGGTCTTTCTGGTAAGTGACTTTTGACTTTTCCACATCAGAGCCCAAGACCTGCTGGCACTTCCACAGCTCAATCCATTTGGGATATCGAGAAGGTGGGGGTACCCAGAGTCCAAAGGTGCTTCAAGGCCATGGCGTCGGGGTCTATAGACTATGATCCCTCAGCCAAATCCAGCCCACCACCTGTTTTTTGTGCAGCACTCACATGAAGGATGGTTTTTACATTTTTCAATGCTTGAAAGTAAATCAAAAGAAGAATATTTTGTTAAATGTGAAAATTACACAAAATTCAAATTTCAGTGTCCGTAAGTCAAGTTTTCCAGGGATATGGCCACACTCATTGTTTACCTATTGTCCACGGCTGCTTTCACGTAGCAACAGCAGAGCTGAGCAGTGGCCACAGAGACTGAATGGCCCACCAAGTGCAGCAAATACTACCTGGCCCCTCACAGAGGAAGTTCACTGGCCCCTGCCTCAGAGGCTGCCCTGGAAGGTAGAGATGAAAGTCAGGCAACCATGGGGGGTCCTGGCGGGGTCCCATGGGTTGGGAGGACCTCAGTGAGGGACCCTGGATGCAGGGAACAGAGTCAGTACCTCACAGCATGGTGCACAAAAGAGGAAGGAAACAGTCAGGATTCTTTTATTCTCCAGAGAGAGAATCCCAAGCTTGAACAAGTGAGATGTGTGTATTAGTTCAGGTAGTTGGCAAGTCCAGGTGAATCAGCTCAGGAGTTTTAGATTATAACAGAAAATCCGATCTACATCAGCCCAAGCAATGCAGAAATCCATCAGTTCCAGTAAATAGAAAGCACCATTGTGCTATGGACTTCAGGATATGTTCGATCCAGTTGCTGATAGTATCAGGGCTGAGTTCTTTTTGTCTGTGAGAATCTGAGCACCATCCCCTTGACATATTAGCCCTGTCTCTGAGTGGGCTTCCCTCCTAGTGGTGAGAAAGCTCCTGTTGAGGCTGGTGCTTCTTTCTTCACATAGAGGTAGACAAAAGGCTTGTCTTCATTGGTAGCAAAGATGGCCACCATGCCCAGCTCTAGGCTTATGTCTGACAGGTGTACCAACACCAGCAGAGATAAGGCTTCTTGCCAATGTTCCAGCCCAAATCCTGGTTATGACTTTCTGGCCTTGCTTAAGTCATGTGATCACCCATCAACCAATGATTTAGACCCAAAGAAGACTGGACTGCTCTAATTGGTCTAGTCTGAGTCACATGGTCCAGAGAGTGGGGTTGGCCTCAGCTAAGTTCTCAGAGAGAGAGGGAGGAGAGGTCCCCCAAGGGAGATCTGGGGGCAAGAGCAGAGTGGGCTGCTATCAGAAGGAATGTGTATGGCGATACAGTGGCCACAACTGTCCATCATACAGGGTGTCCATATATAGGGTGTCCATCATACAGGGTGTCCATACATAGGGTGTCCACCATACAGGGTGTCCATACATAGGGTGTCCACCATACAGGGTGTCCATACATAGGGTGTCCACCATACAGGGTGTCCATACATAGGGTGTCCACCATACAGGGTGTCCATACATAGGGTGTCCATCATACAGGGTGTCCATTTCCAGTGGTGGGACCACTTATCACTTAACACATACTCGCTGAGCACCCGCTTGGGGACAGCCACCCTCCTAGGTGCTCGGGGTGCAACGTGGCTGAAACAGTGTTGTAACTGTAGACAAGCAACACTCTGAACTGAGCTATGAGGTTGGGGTGGGGATCACAGCCCTCCAAGGGAGCACAGGGGAGGGTCACAAACCCCATGTCCAGCAGGGAGCATCCTCAGGGGCAACTTGGTCAGGCGCTGGTGGAGGAGGGAATGAGACAGTGTGCAAGGTTAGGCAGGGTAACAGCAGGTGCAAAGCCTTGGCAGTGAGAGAAAGGGTGGCCAGAACGGAGCAGAAATGGCTGTGGTGAAGAAAGACTCCATTTCAGACCAGTGGGAGCTCCTCCTGTGTTTCTGCCCCTTCCCACTGTCTTGGCTCCACCTCTCCTCCCCCACCCACGCCTCAAAGGAACCTTGCCCTGTCAATACCATCCCTGACCCCAAGCAGAACAGTTGCAGGGAAACCACCTAAGGCTCTGACCTCCTTTAATCTACCCCGTCCCCCCTCAAACCCTTCCTGAGATCTTGACCTTGGAAGGTAATCACGTGGACTGAGAAGAACAGAAAGAGCTGATCACATGTGTAATTAATCTTCCAGGCATTGGTGTGTTTTTGTTGATGGAGCACAGCAGTGCTGGGAGGTGGGCACTTCCTAGAGGGGAAACTGAGGCACAAAAGGACTGACATAACCTGCCCAAGTTTATCTAGCCTGTGAGTGGCCCAACTGGGATTTGAACATGGGAAGTCTGGCTATGGAACCCATGCACTCAGCCTCTGTGCCCCGTCTCTCTGAGACCACGGGGTAGTGGTGAGACAGTTTGGAAGTGCTCAGCGAGCACCCAGTATTATGCATGTCACCATTGCCGATAAGGAATTTAACATGTACAATAACCCCACACTGCATGGCAGGAAACTGAGGCTCAAGAAAGGCTTGGTCTTAAGTGACAATGGGATTTGTCACCCCCTCCTGCCACAGGTCTCTCTTTCCAGAAACCCCTGGTGCCCTATCCACTCACTCAGTGCCTAGTTCGGGCCCTGGAAGCTGGGTCTCCTGACTCCAGGAGGTGTGGTTGGACCCCCATTGGACTCCCAATCCCCATCTGGCTATTTTAAGGCTGGGGCCCAATGTGCGGCCCCTATTAGGGCCGATCCATTTCTCCTTGTCACCGAGGCCCACAAGATGGATCAGGCCCATTTTTCATCCCTCGCATTTGGGGCCTCGCCAGGGCTGTGCAGTGTCCTCACTCTTGTTTAATATGTGTGAGGCCATTTGTCAAAATTCTGGCCCTGGCGCTTCCCTGCCCCCACCCTGGGCTCCACAGAGGAGAACAGCTCCCAGGCAAGACCGCGCCAGCCTCTCCCTCCCAGCAGCAGGGAACAGACTGCGGGGCCTCTGAGGTGGGGGTTCTGAGGGCTCAGCTGATGTTGGCGCCAGCTCCCGGGAGGAACACCCATGCAGGAAGGGGAAGGGTCACAGCTCACCCTGAAAAGCATGCTGGGCCGCATGGGGAGTGTTGGGGAGGGGGTGGCTCCTGGACCAGCAGCTGTGAGCACACCCTGACTCTGACCCTCGCCCTCTGGGGGGACCTTGACCTAAGCTGGTCGCCCTTCCTGTGCCTCAGTGTCCCCAGCTGTACAGTGGGGCTAGCCCAAGTTTCTACCTCACGGAACTATTATCCTACAACTAGTGGCTTCAAATAACAATTTATGGTGATCTCTGATGGCCCGGGGGTGACTGAGCTCAGCTAGGCAGCCCATGATGCTTTCACTGGCTGTGGGCTGGGGCGGGGTCAGCAGGACCTGGGGGGCCCTCACGAGGCTGACCAGGGCGCTGTCTGGTGGTGGGAGCTCAGCGAGGCCTGGCAGCAGGAGCGGCTGCTGGCCACAGGGCCTGAGTCCCCGGGCTGTCCAGGAGCAAATGCCTGAGGGGCCCAAGTGGAAGCTCCCATCCGTTTTTTAATAACTTGCCCTGGAAGCCGCACAGTGTCACGCGTGCTGCCTTCTGTTGCTGCAGAGCAAGAGAGGGGGCCAGAGTCCAGGAGAAGGGGCTGCCCAGGTGTGGACCCAGGAGGGGTGACTCATGGAGACAGCTGCCTCAGGGCCAGTGAAGTCACACCTGTGAGCACTTAGCACGGGGAGTGTGCTCCCCAGGTATTCCCAGCCACTGGAGCCTCAGCGAGCTCGGTGAGGTGTCGTGGGCTTGCACAGGTGCTGGCAGGTGCTGGAGGGTGCTGGCGGGTGCTGTGGGCCTGGCCCTGCAAGTACTCGGCACAGTGCTGACGAAGGGCAGGGACTCTGAATGTGGGGACCACTGGGTGCCTTTGCTCAGGTCGCACGGCACAGGAGTAACAGCTGGGTCAGACCCCAGGAGGGAAGGGCTTCTCATTTGCTTCTGGGGTATCATCTGTGTGGAGTGCAGTAGCCCCACTGCTGCTCCCCTGCTCCCCCTCTTTTCTCCACGATCTTGTGGAGACAGCATACTCTGCCCTCGCTGCTGGGCTTAGCTGGCATTTCAGCAGATAACTCCCTGGCACAAGGGCGGGGTGGGGCGGGGAAGGGAGGGCTCTGCTGCTGTGACCCTACAAGAGACTTGGCTCCAAAGAGCTACTGGAGAGAGTGTGCTGGCCGGCACCACACTGAGGGCTGTGTGGTCAGCAGGAAGCTCTCACTCACGCTCTCTCTTCTCTCCCGAGACAGGTGGCTCTGGCCTCCTTTTCTTTAAGACCAGAGCAGGGAAGGAGGGTTGGGGCTGTCCTAGGGTGCCCCGCTGGATCCTCAGAACCTGCTACCATCAGCCCCTGGTTCCATCAGCTCTCTGGCACTGAGGGTAGCCTGGAGGGAGCATGTGGCCTGTCCTGCCCTGCCCAGTGACTGCACCCCTCTGCCTGCAGGTGATGAGGTTGCCCTTCCTACCCCCATCATCAGTTTCAGCCTTCCCACTGAGCAGGGCCTGTGGGAGGTTCAGGGGCCATTCTGGCATCTTTTAACTGCTCCCCAGTGTCCCCAGCCTTGCCCTGCAACTCCCACAGGACAGAGTGCTTGACAGCCACTTCCCACACCCACCAACCTCCCCTCTCTTTCTCTTCCCTCCCGCAGTGTCCACTCTGTTCTTGGCTCCAACAACCGGGCCACCCACCCACATACCCTCACCACACCAGCTCAGCAGTGCAAGCTCCAGACATCAGCAGGAATTCCAGCCCCGAGGTTTCAGACTGTGCCCTGTGTGGGGTTCTGGGGAGCCTGGGGTGGGAGGAGCCCCTGACCACTCTAAAACCAGAGCAGTGTTTTATATCTGTTTTTTCCATTTGTTTTTATTCATCCTGAAAATATTTATTGAGCACCTACTATGTGCCAAGCATTGTTCTAAGCCCTAAGGACACGTCAGTGAACAAAATGACGTTTCCGTGTTCATGAAGCTGACATTTCAGTATGTGTGGGACATGTAGCAGACAGTCAAAAACCAAATAATAAGGGCTTCTGGGAGGATGGAGTAGATATAATTTCCCCCATTCCTCCTGCCAAGTATAGCCCAACTCCCTAGACATTCTACGTAAAACAAGCATAACAAGACTCTGAAAGTGGAGAGAAGACAGCAGGCTTCTCGAGACAAGAGACAACACAGGGGTGAATCCTACTTGACTCAGGTGTGAGCAAAAAGTCAGGAGCTCACGGATGCCAAAAGGCACAGCCCAAGACAAAAAACCCTCCCCCAGCTCTACCAAAAGTCTACTCTTTCTAGCCAAAGAACCAGGAAAGGGTCATCCCACCAAGACAGAAAACTCACAATAGTAACTGTTTTAGCCAGTCACACATCCCAGAAAAAACTGCATCTAGACCCTGACTCTTGCCAGCACAGGAGGAGGGAGGAGATTAGGGGTCACCTCCGGCTGTAATGAGGCGCCCCAGCCTACCCTGCCCACCCTTCCCGCTGGTGGTTCCAGAGTAGGGAGTTGGGACTTTGCGGCTGGGACCCTACTGGAGAGAAGCAAGCCCCACCTACTCCTGAGTGTCAGCAGAGATCACATTTGTACTCTTTCTCCTCAAAAAGTGCAATATTTATGCATAAATCTAGCAAAATATTTATCGGGCTTGCATGCTCAAAGCCATAAAATGCAGTGGGAGAAACCAAAGAAGAGCTAAATAATGGAGAGATGTATTGTGCTTAGGGTACAGATGTCACTATAGACAGGTTCAGTGTAACTCCTATCAAAAACCTCAGTAAGATTTCTTGTAGATAGAGCCACCATTATTTGCAAAGGAACTACAATAGCTAAAACATTTTTGAAAAAGAAGAATAAAGTCTACCAATGGCAAGCCTTAACATAGAACTACAGCAATCCAGACTGTGTGGTGCTGATGGAAGGTTAGATACACAGATCATGAAACAGAACAGAGGACCCAGAAACAGACCTACACAAACTTGCCTCTCTGATTTTTTTAAAAAAGATTTATTTTTATTTATGCATACAAGATCTGGGGTATAGTCTAGAGGTGCGGGGGGTGAGAGGATTCACCAGAGACAGAGTAGGGCACAGAACAGGAAGACTGACTGAAATACACTGTTGAGGGGAGCAGCGGGCGAGACAGGAGAGGTCTGCTGCACCATGTGGGTAGCTCCCTGGCCGGAGATTGAACTCATGCTGCAGTGGCTGCAGATAGCTTCATAGTGGTGATGCTTAACATCTTGTGCCACCAGGGAGGCCCCATCCCGCTGATTTTTGACAAAGGTGCAAATCCATCCAGTGGACCGGGGGAGTAACCTTTTCAACAAATGGTGCTGGAGCTACTGGATATCATAGGCAACCCCCTCCCCCAAACAACAACAACAACAATAACAAAACTTGCTATAAATTCCATCCCTGATATAGAAATTAATTCAAAATGCATACAAATATGAAATATCAAGCCTTTAGAAAAAAAGTAGGAGAAAATATTAAGAACTTAGCATGAGGCATCTTAGACTTGACATCAAAAGCACAAGAAGAAAAAATTAGTAAGTTGGATTTCATCAAAATGAAACACTTTTGCTCTGTGAATGACCCTGTAAGGGTTGAAAAGATGAGCCACAGACTGAAGGAAAATATTTGAAAATCACATATCTGATGAAGGACTGGTTTCTGGAATATATAAAAGCTGCCAAAACTCAACAGTAACACAACAAGCACAGGCAAAACAATTCAATTAGGAAGTAGGCAAAAAACATGAACAGACACTTTGCCAGAGAAGATGTGCAGACAACAAATAAACAAATGAAAATGTTCAACACCATTAGCCGTGAGGGAAACTTAAAGTGAAGTCACCAGCAGGTACCTCTACACACCTGTCAGAACAGTTAGAATAAAAAAAAAACAGTGACAATACCAAATGCTGGTGGATGTCTAGAGAGGCTCACATATTCCTGGCAGAAATCCTGTTCAGCAATGTAAAGTTGATACACACAACTTGGACAGCTTTCCAGAGAATTAAGCTGAGTGAAAAAAGTCAATCCCAAATATATATATTGTGTGATTCTATAACATTCTTGAAATGACAACATCCTGGAAACAAAGAACAGATCAGTGGTGCCAGGGGGAGGGGGAGATTGGGAAGGAAGAGGGTGTGACTATAAAATGGCAACAGGAGGGATGTTTGTAGAAACACAACTGTTGGGTGTCTTGACTCCGTGTGTCAATGATATGAATGTATTTGCTAGGTGCTCCCCGGTTGGGAAAACTGGGTGATGGGCACATGGGGTCTCTCTGTATTATGTCTTACAACTGCATGTGCATCTATCATGATCTTGAAATAAGAAAGTTTCATTTAAAAACACACAATAATACAGAAAAAGATCCAAGGAAGTGAAGGGTGTGGTGCGTGTGGCTTGTGATGCAGCGAGTAAGTAAAGTGAGGTGAAGTGAATACGTGATGGAGAAAGGTGAACCCTGTTTCCTGGTGGTTTCAGCAGAAGGCCTGGGGTTGAGCTGCAGTGGCTGCATTTAGGTGTCACACGCCTGTGCCTGAACCAACGACTGTGGCCAGAGGCACACAAAACCCTTGTGGTCAGGCCTAGTCACCCCGAAGGCTGAGAGAGAGGCCGGCCCCACATGGTCGTGTGGCCTGGGAGGAGGGAGGGAGGGTCCCCAAAAAGAATGGAGGCTGGTCAGGGAAACCATCCTGTGTACATTCATAGGAAGAAACCTGCTTCTTTACAACCATCATCAGGTTGAGTTTCCATCCTTTTGACCAGACCTCCCAGATGGCATCTTCAGTATCATTGCCCAGAGGAGAGAGGATCTGATTGGGCCAGCATTGGCCAGATGTTTAGCCCTCATCCAGTCATCTGTGAGCTGGGGGTGGGGTTACATCCTGGAGCCTTGTGGTGGACAGAGTAGTTCTTAGGGGGCATAGCCAACACCCCAACCCTGCCAATGACAGCTGCTCAAAACTTGTGGAATATCTAAATTGCTCTTTATCATGGAAGGATGGGAGAATCATTATGTTAGCGCTAAGGAATAGATATGATTAGGGCCCCCTGGAGAAATGATGAATCTCAGATCTCCCTTTGCTCACCTTCTGGGTGCTCAGAGACCAGCAATGAGAAGAGCAGTGAGTGCAGGAGAGGGGATTTCTCTGGTCTTGAGGAATGCAGGGGTGGTGATGTTGACAGCCCCTGTGGGTGGCGGGTGGGAGGAGAGGCAGGAGGCTCTGAGAGCAGACTTGGCAGCAGTAAGACTGAGCCCTTGATTTGGAGGAAATCAGTCAACAAAACAGAGACTGGGGGATAGGGAGGGACTCAGAAACCAGACCAGGTGTGACAGGAGCCAGGGAGATGCCCTGCTCCTGGTTCTAAAGGTTATTGTACAGTCTTGACCAGAGAGGTTGGGCAGGAGGTCATTTCTAGAATGGGTGCTGGGTCAGAGAGGACTCTTTGGCTAGTGGAGTCTCCTGGTCCCACACCACCCATCCCACCTTTCCAGATGTGTGTAGATCAGATTCTCCAGCTCTGGGCTGACTCAGATTACACATCTGGTGAGTGTTCCCCAGCTGGGGTGGGGAAAGTGGGAAGCAGAGAGTCAAGCAGGTCCTCACAACTTAATCTCTTGGAGGGAGAACGTAGAGACCAAGTCAGAGAGAAGTAGGTCCTAACAATGTTGTAATAGTGATGACAGTAGCAATAGCCAGCCTGTGAGTGACTGGCACTGTTCTAAGGTGTTTCATGCATCATCTCCTTTAATCCTTGCAACAACCCTGCCAGGTGGTGCTATTGTACGTCCAGTAAAATAGATGTGAAGAGTTGAGGCTGAGCATCTTGCCCAGGGTCACACGTGAATGAAGGTAATTTAACTCTCACAGAGAACCAGCTTTTATGGTGTCTGGCCCTCATCTACTTCTCCATCATCAACTCCAACTAATCCCCTCATGCCTTCTCCTCCAGGATCCCTCACTTCCTCCAGCTTGTGGAACTCTACCTGCTGTCTCATGCCCCAGTGCCTTTGCACACACACTTCCTCTTCCTGCCATACCCTTTTCCCTGGTAAACTCTCTCCCATCCTCTGAGAGCCAGTGCAATCATAGTTGTGTTCTGAGCAAGCTTCCCTGATGCCAGCCCTTTTGGATGGAATGACTCACTTTCCTTTTAACTCCCAGTAAAGAACTCTGCCCTGTCTGTACTAGGCTGTATAGATCATTCTGTCTCCCACACCAGACCGTGAGCAGGGCGGGACCCCTACTCTTCTCTATGGCAGCACCTGCTCAGATCTGGCCCAGAGGAGGCGGTTGCAGTTGTGGAGGGTGCATGGATGTCCCCTGCCCCCCCTCATGTGGCACCTCTCTCCTCATCTCTTGGCAGCCTGGCGTGGGGCTCCTTTACCTGCTGCATGGCAGCCTCTGTCACCACGCTCAACTCCTACACCAAGACGGTCATTGAGTTCCGGCACAAGCGCAAGGTCTTTGAGCAGGGCTACCGGGAGGAGCCGACCTTCATAGACCCTGAGGCCATCAAGTACTTCCGGGAGAGGTCAGTGAACACCGGGCCACCTCTGGCCACTGCTGGGGATCTGAAGCCCAGGGCCTGCCTCAGAGGCTCCAGGGCTCCAGTTAAACCTGGAGTGAGTGGTCTGATGGATTGTGCTGGGGGATTGTGGGGTGGAAGGAGCAGCCTGGGTGAGGCAGCTTGGATCCCATCATGTTGGAATTTCTGGGACATTTTAATGCTTTATGGGGCATGCGGTGGCGTGGGGCTTATGTCTGATTCCCTGAACTGGGCCAGGCACCTAGTGGGCACTCATTAAATGTTTTGAGTGTTTGCTGGCTTGGGTTTTGTTGATTGAATTCTTCTCTTTGGAGACTTCAACTTTGACTGCCTCGTATTCTCTCAGCTGGCGCCCCACCATCATCGGGCAGATTCAGCATCCCAGCAGCCCTGCAAATATCCCGGGTCAGGTGTTCAGTCCCTGGCCAGGAGGCCAGGCTGGTGTATAGAACACATTCCCCAGGACAGTGACCGGCCCAGAGTAGGCACCCAGGACATGTTAGTCGCAGCCCTGATGTCTCAGCCCTCCCCACGAACACTGCACCTGCTGTCACCTGGGTCGGGGGAGATCCATCTCCTGGGGTAGCTGTGATGAGTTCTTTTTGCTGAGGCAGAAGACAGGACCTCTCTGTACCCCATCAGAAGGAGCTGCCATTGCTGGTACCCCAGTTCAGACAGTCCCTCACAGCTTGGGTCCCAGCCGTGTGGGAGAAGATGAATGCCTCCCAGCATATGTGCAGAGTATCACTTTGCATGTTCATAATGAACATTATGCAAAGGTTCATCAAATTTTATTTCCCTTCCTCTCCAAGGAGAGCATTTCAGCTTAGCTGGGCTGTTCTGATTTTTTTTTTCCTCGTGCCTTCCCTACAAAGAGCTCGGGGCACATGGACAGATCTCTGCACAGGTTTGCAGGGGGCCCTGCAGCAGGGTTGGGGATCTGCAGGGCCAATATCCTGAAATCTCAGCCAGGGACACAAGGGACAGCCACAGCCCCACTGGCCCGGGCTTCCTCCTCTGCGGGGGCAGGGGGTGCTGTGGGAGAACAGGGGTTCAGAGGCCCCCATGAGTTTTCCATTTCTGTCCCTGGGCTGCTGTGTGACTTGGGACAAAGCACCACGCTCTTCTGGGCCATTTTCCTCTGACTGAGGATGGGAGAGCCCAGAATGTCTCAGAAAGGCTCATGTTTGATAACCCGGGTAACCTGCCGGCACAGTGCCTGGCACCGGAAGGGCATTTCCTGGGTGAGTCCCTGTCCTTTCTGTTGCTGATGCAAAATATAAGCTTGGTAATGATTAGCTCAGGATGGAGACAGAGCTGGAGACTTTAGATAGTAAGACCCTAATAATCACATACTAACCACGGTCAACATTTAACCTGGTATTGACACTGCACTAGGCCCTTCTCTGCATACTTTAGATGTTCCTCAATTCCATAACACCTCTGGGAATTAGTGGGGATTATTAGCATCTTCATTTTGAAGATGCAAAATTGAGGCACAGACAGGTGAGGTGACTCATCCAAGGTCACACAGCTGGAACCAGGCCACGGTCCATCACCCTGCTGTGTGGCCTCTCCAATGGCTAGTCTGTCCAGTGCTGAGGTGGGACCTGGCATGCAGGGATGAGTGGCAAGTCCCGCCACTCGGGCTCGCTGTCTGAGGGCCAGTGAGGTGTGGGTGGGGGGATGGGTGATCATGTCCCAGGAGAGGGTTTGGGGTCTCCCAGCTGCCCTCCTACCAGTGCTGTCAGTGGGAGAGGTGTCTGTGGGCCTCATGCTCTTGATTGAGGATAGGGCGGTGTTCATGGGGCTGGTGGAACAGGATGGACCTGACCCCCCACCTACCAATTACGTTTTTGTCTGCAGGAACCTATAGCAAGTCTGAGGAGCAATTGGGCAGTCTGAACAGTTTTTAGGGGGTTGAAATGTAGTATGTGGGAAGAAGCGTGTGTGCATGTGTGTGCGTGTGCACAGGGCATGGGATTGCAGTGTGGTGCGTGTGCACACGTGTTAGGATTCGGGGATGGGAGAGCCATGCCTTGACCCTGAGCATCCGGGCCTGCTCTGGAATTAAACCCGCCCAGCTCCACCATGCCACTTGTCCCTAAGGATGGCATCTTAATCAGGCCTCCCAAGGGGCGGGTGGGAGCTGCTGAATGAAAGGTAAATATTTGCAGATCCGGGCTTTCTTGAATACTTAATGTTCAGATCTGGTTTAACAACCACGGAGGAAAATGAGACCTGTTGGATTGGCCTCCAGGGGGATTCAGCGCTGAGCAATCATCCTGCTCCTGGAGGGCCCTTTGGAGGAGCAGGAGCCATGGGCCAGCTGCTGGGAGGGGCAGGCTCCTGCCCTCTGCCCCATCGGACCCCTGGGGTCCTCACTTGCTCTGCAGCTTTGCGCTCACTGGTTAACTTCTGGTTCCTTTTTGTGTCTGCCGCCTCTGCTGCACCACCCGCTCCCCCCACCCCACCCCTACCTGCAGGAGCCCAGCAGGCCGAGGCCTGCATGGCTCAGCCTCAGCCTAGGAGGCCAAGGGGAGAGAGCTTCACGGGAGAGACCCATGAGCAAGGTTTTTTTTTTTTTAATCCTTTATATCTCCCTAAATTTTATAATTAATTTAATCCATTTTTAATGAATTACATTTTTATTTTTGTTTTATGTCCTCATTAATTTTTGATAGTATGGAGCTCACCAGCTAGGCGGGCGGTGGTGGTGGAGGGACAGCATACGGCCAGGAGGGGCACGCAGCGTCCGCGGGAAGGTCTGGGCAGTTTGGAGTGACCTGGGAGTCGGGTATGGGCGGGCCTAGGCCTGTCGCTGAGGCACGTGTCTGGGTGGGGGCTGGCCGTGGCAGCAGGTGGTGTCTGGGTGGGATGAGGAGGTGGGAGGTGGGGCTCCACAGACAGAGCAGCCAGGCCCCTGCCAGTGGGGAGCACTCTCCCTTTACGTGAAAGGGCTGCTCCTGGACCCCACTGCTCACTAGCTCTGCTTTCTTTCATGCCTCCTCCAGGGCAGCTTTGGGAAGCGCCAATCTCTGCTTCCTTACCTCCACCCGGGCCTCCACCCCACCCAGCAGGCTGCCAGCTGCCCTGACAGCTCTCAGTGCTCCCACTGGCCACCTCCACCTCCCTGCCCCTCTCTCACAGTCTCCCCAACCTTCCTTCCATTAAATGGTGGTGCCCCAACCTGGCCTGGCTCTAGGCCCTCGCCTTTCCTCACTTGACCTGAGCAGCCACCTAGGGGCCTGGGCCCCGCCTGGTCTGTCCAGACCGCCCAGTCCATGCCCAGCTGCCCCTGTGGTGTTTCTACTTTGGATTCTCAAAGGTGCCCCAAATCAGCCTGGCCAGGCCTCACAGTTCTCCCCTGGGCCCAGGCTTCCTGTGCGTCTCCCCACCGTGGTCCTGTGTGTCAAGCCCTATATCTGTGAGTCCTTGTGCACAAACTCAGGTCTTGTCCCTCAGGGCCTTCATGTCTCCTGAGTCCACTGGCCTCATCCAGCCCAGGGCTGCCTGGGCCCAGCCGCCCTTGGAGGTCAGATGTCAGCCCTCATCCTCCTGGTCTCAGCACCTCCTCACTGTGCAGATGGGGTGGGGGTCCCTCTACCCCTCTCTTTCTGCCTGAAAATCTGGAGCACCATCCCACAGTTCCCAGACAAAGCCTGGCTCCTTGTAGCTTACCAGGCGCTGCACTGTTTTGCCTCACGGGGACCCGGCTCAGCACACAGCTCCTCCAGTTCAGCACACAGCTCCCCCTGGGCCTCCGAGCTTCCCAGACAGGCCCTTCTGCCCCAGAGTAGCTCGGGGCTGACTGCCATCTTGCTTGAGCAACCTCTGTGTGCCTTGGCGGTGATCTGCCTTCAGATCTTGCCTCTGCTCTGGATTCTGGACAGGAGTAAATCCCCCCAACTGTCTCTCACAGCCGACAGCCCCGCCCGGCCCCGCCACTGTTCCGTCTCGAGCTCCAAGGGGCAAGTAGCAGGGTGAATGGAGAGGGTGACAAAGAGCAGAGGGACAGCCTCTGGGAAGCGGCCTTCTGTGCCCATGGTCACTGACCCTTCTATTAGCCCTGCCCCCCAGGAGTGACTGGGGTGTTCTTCCACCGCCTTTCCCCGTTCTCCTAGCCAAGATATGGAGCGGCACAGCCAGGTACACCCACCTGAGCGACTGCTCACCTGTCCCCTCTGCTGGTAGCCAAGGCTGAGCTGAGGACAGGACTTGGAGCTTCGCTGAGTCCAGAGGCTTTTGTGCAGCAGCGGGCTCCTCAAGGCCCCCTCCCATCCCCCAGGCGGGCGGGGGTGGGGCCGGCCCCCTTGAGGGCCAGCGATTGCTTTCTCAAGTCATTCCTAACCCATGCAATCCTGAGAGTGTAAGGTGCTACTATCTGGAGCATCTTTTTCAAACCCAATGTTGAAGAACCAGAGACCAAACTGCCAACTGTGCACCAGAACCCGGGCGGGTGTGGGGGAGGCGTTGACAGTGCCGCTTGCTTCATCTTCTCTGTTATTTTCCAATCGCTTTGTATTATGATGACAGTACTCATAAAATGGGAAAAGGAAAAAAAAAGAATTTTTTAAAAGCCCATTTATTTCCTCCTATCTTGGAATGCACTTTTGAAGCGAGGGTACGGAATCTTAATTTCCTACCTGTGGTCACTTATTTGCCAAATTTCCTTTTAATTCCATTCTTCATCCCATCGTAAATAGATCATTTAAAAATCACCAGGCGCTTTGTCCTCAGCGCCCGTTTCCTGGATGTTTCACCTCCGAGACGTGTTCAATCACAGCGCCTCTTCCCCATCTGTTTCCACTTTCACTGCTCGAATATTACTTCCCCGTGACGCCCTGCACTTCATCACGCCGCGTGGGGGCCTTTGAAATCGCTGCCTATTCTGCAGAGGAGCACGGCACCCAGAAATGAGGGATGGCACCCTGGGGGTGGCAGGGCCCCCTCAAGGCTCCCAGGACTGGATGGCTGACTGATGCCAGGGAGGGGGAGAGGAAAATGGAAAACGCAGGCTGGTCCTTGAAGTAGAAAATGGACAAAGGGAAGAGGAGCAACATCTGGAAGGAATGGCCACGTTTCCTCCTAAACATCAGCCGGTTGGAGGGGAAATGAGAAGCAGAAGTGAGCTGAGGGCCTCCCTGGTGGCACAAGGGGTTAAGCAAGGCACTATGAAGCAATGCGCAGCCTCTGCAGCATGAGTTCAATCCCCAGCCAGCCAGGGAGCAACCCACATGGCACAGAAGACCTCTCCTTTCTCGCCTGCTGCTCCCCCCAGCAGTGTACTTCAGGCAGTCTGCCTGTTCTGTTCCCCACTCCGTCTCGGTAAATTCTCTCACCCTCTTCATCTCTGGCCTGTACACCAGCCCTTGTATGCATAAACAAATAAATCTTAAAAAAAAAAAAAAAAGAAGTGAGTTGACCGCAAGGACTCTGCGGGCATCTTCCTGCCTGGCTGTCATGGCCACCAGCTCTTTGCTGATGCCCCGCTGTAGCCATGATGGAGGGGAGGCCCCCAGAGGCCTAAGCCCACTGGGCAGCAGCCTCAGGCCACACAGAGGACAACGGAGCCGGGTGAGGCGCCCAAGACTGGAGCTGATAATGACATGTGCAGACCCAAAAGCTCCCAGAGGTCACGCTGAGACCCGGGAAGGAGTCCCACAGCCAGGCCCAGGGGCTGCCCCACCTGAGATCCCAGGCACCCCCATTTACCCTTTGAGTGTTTAGATTTGTGGCTAATTTCTCACCGCACCATTAAAAATAGAAAAACCTTGCCTGCAGAAAGCCTGTCGTGGTTCCTGCAAGAAATTACAGTTCAGATCAAAGGGAGTTGTCACCTCGAGATGTTTCTTTGTGTCCTCCCCTCCAGGGGCGACCCTTCCTCCACCCCGCTCCCCCCTCTTCCCTTCTGACCTTCTTCCCCATGTTTGTGTCAAGACCCCGGCCTGACCCAGAGCCAGTGATGGATGATGAGATCAGGTCCATCCTTCTCTGAGTGTACATGCGGAGGAGAAGGGGCCGACTGCGTGGTGGTCTGCCTGCTCGGAGCCCCCTCTCTGTGCCAGGAGCAGGGCTGGCGGCCACACACGGCGGCTGCCCTTGCTGTCATTCCTCGCCACTCTTTGTGCCACTTAAAACAAGGATCTCAGGGCCGAGAGCCTCCCGCTGCCTGTTAACCACGACCCCCACTCGCCGCCACCCACGGTTGTGCCCACAGCATCCTTGTCCTCAGGTGCTTCCTGCCAGAAAGCCTCGAGGGGCTGCAGAAGGGTCATCTATCCTTGCCGTGGCCTCCGCCAAGCCCCAGCCACTCACCAAACAGTGGCAAAGATCTTGCAGGTATGTCTTGCTTACTGGCGGGGATTGTGGAGGGGCTGCCTCTGCGCGGGAGCCAGCTCCTCCCGATGGATCCTGGATCCCTCTCCAAGTGAGCCTTTAAGATGAAGCTCCAGTGGCACTTCCTCCTGGAAGCCTCTGCTGATCCCGGCTCAAGTGATTGTCAGCCCTGCCACCTATGATGAGCCCTCACCGACCACCAGGTCCCTTAAAACTCTGCCCAGTGATTTCACGAGACTCCCAGCTGAGAACCGCTGGCCAGGGCAGAGGCTGACACAGTGTACCCTTCATGCCACACCCAGCCCACCCTCCAGAGGCCCATGTCCACTCGTGTGTGTATTGTCCTCAGCTGCTTTCACGCTGTGAGGGCCACTGAGTGCTTGTGATAGAGACCATCTGGCCTCAAGCTCACAGTTTTCCACCTCGGCCTTTACAGAAAGCATCTGCTGTCTCCTGGACTAGACAGTGAGTCACCATCCTTCACCCTTCTTAACACTCTTCTAGCTTAAAACAGAGCCGGTGGAGCTGTGACCTTTTGTTTGCATGCAGCAGGCCTGAGCTTCTCCAGGTCCGGGTCCTAGCTGAGTCATCCCAGGGCCCACGTGGATGCTCACCTGTTGGCAGGTGATATGCCGGCACCGAGCTTTGGGCTTCTTAGCAGCCAGCTTTGGGGTTCCAGGGAGGCCAGGGACTGGGCCAGGCTGGGTTAGTTTTAGACAACTAGGCTCCCGGGCTCCTAGCTCCAGGGCTGAGGCTCCCAGCAGAGCCCAGGTGATGCCCCAGTGAGGTCTGCAGGGAGAGAAATCTTGGGGTAAGAAATTGGGAGAACTGGGAACCTAGGGTTGGCTCAGGGTTAAGGTTGTGGAATGCAGGAGGTTGTGGGAGGCCTGTGACATGCAGGTGGGAACCAGAGGGGCCCCATATGGCTGGGGGGTGGTGATGCTCCAGCCCAGGGCAGGGCTGTGCCTGCTGCGGTCTCCTGGCAGGTGTTTGAATCCACTTTTAGCTTCAGGATGGCTCTACTCAGGCTTGGGCACCCCAAGGAGGAGAAACTTGACACTCTACTTGGAGGACTGAAAAAACTGGTTGTCTATCAGCAGCACATTGAATATTGATTCTTGTTTCACACACACCTATGAGGAAAGAAGATAGTGAGAATTATGTGTTCACTTTAGAAAGATGTTGGAAATTTATGAGCAAAAAAAATCAGGTTACAAAAAACTGTAATTTGAGGCTGTTTATGTTTAAAATAACATTCATTCTAAAAAGATTAACATGAAACTACTAATAGTGATCCCCTACCTGGAGGTATAATTGCAGGGGGACTTGGTTCTCTCTGTGGGGCTATAATTGTAATTTATTTATTTATTTTTTGGAATGAGCATGTGCTATCAGGAAAACAAGAAAGATGTTTCCACCAAAAGGTAAAAATCATGGACCTTTTCCCTTATGCTGACCTTGCTCCACAGCATCGTGTATCTGGGAGATCTGTCTTCCCAGTGCGTTGGCACATGGCCTTCCGACCTGCTATCTGGCCACACAGGTCACAGGAGATGTTTTAAAACAAAAACTGTGTTCAGAGTTTGTGCCCTGGATGACAGACTTGTCCCCTTGGGGCAGAGTCGGCAATGCTTGGGTGGGGCCATTCACTGCCTGTCATTTTCACACGCCTGTGCAGCTTGTTTCCTGATTAGACTGGAAGCTCTCTGAAGGGAGAGACAATGAAACAGACACATTTCTGTCCTCCGCACAGCGCCTGGTGCAAACTACACAAAGTAGGTCTTCAGGAAATTCCTGTTGAGTGCATGAATGAACAGCCTTAGGGGATCAAAATGATCAGTGCATGAATAGTTCTCTCTTCTACTGAGGATATTTCTGGCATTTCTTGCTGGGTCTTCACCACCTCTCCCCCACCCCCTTTTCTTCTGGACACAACTGTGCAGCTAGGAATAAGAGGTGATGAAAGCATGCATGGAAAACAGGAAGGGGGTATTTGCTTTGGGAAGGCGACTTTCTTACGTGAGGGAAAAAGATAGCAGTGGGAAGAAAAGGAAGGTGGACACAAGGCAAAGTTCCAGGCTAAGTGCACCAGAGGGTTTTGGACAGCTGCAAGGTAAGAAAAGGCAAAGAGGGTTGGAGGAAAGATACAAGAGTCCAGCTAAGGATACAGAACTGGAAGCGCCCTCAGTGTTCTGCAGGACATACAACGATGATTGCTATTATTCCTCCTTTAGGGAGCTACACTGTGTTTCTCTAAAAGTGATCCTGGACTGGACCATGTGGAGCTCTGGAATTTATGTGGGTTACAAATGGACGAGTGCAATACAGGAGTACAGCCCTACCCATTCTCTGGCCCAGTCGTCACTGAGACGGGCGGGGCGGGGGGGGGTGGTTATATCTGGGGCCATGTCAATGTCTGCAGCTGCCTCCACTCTGACCCTTGTCATTTCCTGCCACGCCAGTAGAGGCAACTCCCTCTGGACCAGCCGTGATCCTGAGATGCCAGGGCAAAGTCACAGATGAGAAACTCTTACAGTTGTTGATGGAAAAAAACACTATGCCAGAGTCAGAGACCAGATTTTGTTTATATGTAGAAATGCCTTCAGGGAGTGCTTTAATTTAGTGAATTAAATGAGTGTTGTATTTAAGAAAAGTGACACAGCTTAATGTCTATTGCCCCTGAATCAGAAAATAGAGATAAGCAAAAAGAAGGCTCCTGACTTAATCCTCTATATCCTCATAATCGGATGCTAATCACCATTCCTCCTTTACTGTATATTTTACCAAATAATGTTTTGTGCATATCAGTGTGAAACTTTATTATCAAAAAGTATGTACAAACCGTACACATTCTTTTGTCACTGACCAGTTGCACACGGTTGAATATCCTTTAGTGAGAATGCATAGATCTGTATCCCAGTTCTGCCTCTAATTTGTTAGTTATGTGGCACCTGATCGATTAGAGCACTTTCTGATGCCTCAGTTTCTTTGTCAATACAGTGGAGATAATGCCAGCCCTCTCCTGGGAGGTGCTTAGGGTCTTGTTGGGGGATGGCTCAAAGGTGCTGTGCAAAACGTTCCCCAGCTGGGAGGGGCTATGCTTTTTTAGGCCCTGGATTTCTGCCAGCTCAGAGAGCCACAGATTTTTTTACACAGATTTTTTTTTCTTTCCAGGATCGAAAAGGGGGATGGGGACGAGGAGGAGGACCTTCGCCTGGATTGTCGCCATGAGAGATACCCTGCCCGTAAGTGGCCTTATCTGCAGGTTCACAGACCATCTGAGGAACCCTGGAGACGGCCAGGGCACCCTCTTCCTGCACGCCTGCTTTCTCCTAGACACACACTACCAGTGGGGAAACTGAGGCTGGCATCCGTTGTATGCGGTGCGGCCGTGGGGGAGGGAATGCTAAGGCAGCAAGAGGGATCCTCGAGTACTTTAAAGACAGGCAGGCGAGCCATGGTCAAGCCCAGGCTTGAAGAGAGAACAGCTCAGGGACTAGCCAAATCGGGGAGGAGACTGACAAGATTTGTCTGAGCCAGGGCTAGTCCCCAGGGCCCAGGATGCATTGACTTCATGTGTCTCACTGTGGGGGACACCATAAGGCTGAATCTGGGGCACCCATTAGGAAAACAAATGTGTGGACCGGAAAGCAAAGGGGAGGTGCAGGGAGAGAATGGCCTTGCTCCAGACCGAAAAGAAAAGAGCTGATGTGAGATTAAAGTGAGGACGGCAGAGTCTCAGCGGAGCTGCCGAGTGGCTGCCACATGCTGCCCGCCCTCCCGGACTTTCCGTGCCTGACCTCATGGTCTTGCTGACTCGAAAGTCCCACAGCCAGGGTTACTGTCCACCTATTGCAGATGAGGACATTAAGGCTCAGGGAGGTGAAGTAACTTGTCTGAGGTCCACAGTTTAGTCAGCCAGTGACAGAGAACCTCCGGCTCAGGACAGGGGCAGTGGAGGTCAGTAGGGGACTCCAGGTGAGGGATGGGGGCAGCCAGGATCCTGGGGTTCACACACAAACTTGCTTCAGCCATCAAGGGTCTGGTGTCAATGACTGATCAGCTTGGAGAGAAGTTTGTGGGTCCGATGCTGTTTCATGAGTATGAGAAGAGTTGAGAATGGAGACAGGGGAAGCCACAAGACTGCTCAGATCATCCAGGAGAGGGTATGGGTGGGGAGACACTGAAGCAGCGAGGTCTGAACACCTTGGGGCGCTTCAAAGAGAAGCCATGGAAGCTGGTTGGGAAGGGGCTGGGAAAGATGAGACTTAAAGATGAGACGAAGTCAGCAGAGGGGGTGCAGGTGGAGAAGGCAGGGATACTGAGCCAGCGGTGACCCAGCTTGGTAGAATTCTACAGCTGAATTCTACAGGTGATGAAAATAGCATCATCTCTGGACGTGACTGTGAAAATACCTACCAAGACAAACTCAGTCCCACCAGGTCTGATGATAATCCTCACCCTTATGTATGTTCCGAAGACTTTATTTTCATCCGTGCAGTTAATCCTCAATTCAGCCCTATTTAGAGATGGGAAAATGAGGCCCGGGAGGTTACAGCTGTGATGCAAGAAGCAGAGCTGCGATTAGCACCCAACCCATCTGGCTCCAGAACCCCAGCCCTGAGCCAGCAGGGTGAGCTGCTGCCTGTCAGTGGGGGCTCACAAGCTGGCACACCCACCTGCCAGCTCAGGGCGGGGAGGGAGCATGCCTCTATGGACCTGGTCCTCCTGGAGCTCACGGACTAGAAAAGCAGCCCATCAGGGCATCCGGGGAAACGATAGCAGCTCCAGAATGCAGCCTCTTAGCTGCTAGTGGGATTTTGGCCAAGAAAATATTTTGGAAATGCCTGGATGAGTTTTGCAATATTTCTGCACCAAGCAGCTGCTCAGATCGTGTGGTGGGCTGACTTGCCGGCAGGAGGGACGGGGGCGGAGGGACGTCAGGGGCGGAGGGACGTCAGGGAGCCCACGTTATTAAATAAATGCTTACTGTGTGCAGGTCTCTGCTAAGCACTTCACAGCCAGCTCATCTGATGGGCGGCTCAGCCCTGGGAAGGAGGGAGGGATCTTTTTACTGTGTAGACAGAGATGCTCAGGCCCTGAAGGGAAAAGTGACTTTGCTGAGGTCTCTGGTCCCCGGGGATCTTGCCCTGGGTGCGAGGCCATCCTAGCTCTGTCCCTGAGCATCTCCTCCCTTCTCCATCCCTCAATCTGCTCCAGCCACCCAGGCCTTTCTCTTCCTTGAACATGCAGAGATCATTCCCTTTCTAGAGACTTGAACCTGCTGCTCTCTCTGCCCAGAATGCTCTCCCTCTAAATCTCTGCATGGCTGACTTTGTCTCATCTTCAAGTCTCAGTCAGAAAGCCACTTCCTCAGAGAAGCTGCGCCTGACCTGCACTGGCCTCCCCAGCCACCCTCGCATCACTGTACTTCCCTTTCTAAGTGACATCTGTCCCTCTGCTACCTGTCTTTGATAATCACATACTTGGTTTTTGTTTGGCTGCCTCGCTCCACTTGGTTCTGTGACAACAGGCACCTTTTGTTCATATCTGTCTCCCGAGAGCCTAGAATGCTGTGTAGCACACAGTAGGTGCTCAGTTGCTGGCTTTACACCTCCAAGCTTCTCCCTCCATTTCCTACCTGAGCAGCCACTTTTACCTGAATGACTACGTGAAGTTTTGGCTAACTGCTCCCAAAGGGGCCACTTTTCACTTGGGCTGCTGTGATTTGGGTTCTGCCACAATTCTTTTTTCCTGAAGAAAGAGTTTGCTTTTGAAACCCGCCTTGGGGCTTTGCGGCGCCACCAGCTAGCTCGGGAGCACATCAGATGTGACATTTGATGGAGGCGATGCTGCCATATGGTCCAGGTGCCTGCATCTTCCTTCCAAGAGCAACTGGGGTTTGCAGCTGATTGCAACTGTCAAGTTCAATGCCCGAGACAAGCTTTGGATTTTGCCAGGTGTGTCTGTAAGGCTGGGCCAGGCGAGAGGTTGTCACTCGCTGGGTACAGAGGTGACTTCTGGGAGCTCCGTCTAGACGGGTCTCTGCTGCTGCTGCCCTCAAAATAGCAGAGGGAATTTCAAGGAAGACTTTTCTGGGCCCAGAACAACTTGGCATTTTTATTAGATCAAAATCAAATCCAATATAGTACTGCTCAAGCCTGCTTCTTTTATTAAAATGGAAACAGACAATATTTCTGAAATAAATATCAATGCCAACTTACTGGGCACACAGACAAGCAGGTAGCTTGGAGACACCTGAGACCTTGGCACTGGCAGTTGGGAGATATAAGCCAGCAGCAGCATCGAAATCACCTGGAGGGCTTGCGGAAACTCAGATTGCCAGGCCCAGCCCTGGCTTCATGGTGGAACCTGGAATTCTCATTCCTAACAGTTCCCAGGGAGGCTTGCTATTGCTCCACGGACCAAATTCAGAGCAACCCTCAGCCTCGGGACAAACCTGGCCTTCTGAAGCTACTGTCGGGAGTGACAGTCATTTGCTTGAGCTATTCAGTGCAAACCACCGCTTCCAGGGCCAGTTGGAAGTCCAGTCCACCCTCCTGAGACACAAACTTGATCATGCCCTCCCATGCCCTCTGAGCACCAGGCCTCCGTGATGGCATCCCTGGGGCGGGGGTGGGGTGGGGTGGGCAGGCTCTGTGCTAAGCCCTCTCCCACATTCCCAAGGAAGCCTTCTCCTGCCTTCCCGTCCCGCTTCATTTGTTTCCCAGTCTCATCACTCAGACTCTTCATCACCAATTTGTCTCTCCCCTGGAAGGAAAAGTCACGAGGACAGGACCTTGTTGCCAGAGTTAGGTGGTGGCCCACAGCCAAGCACAGGTGGGTCACCAGCACCTTGCCGCGGATGACTTAGCTCGCTTGGAATTCAAGTGGTAGCTGCTCCGAGGAGTGTTTCCATTTTACAGGTGAAGATCCCGGGTTCTGAGAAGCAAAGTCATTCGTTGTGGGTCACAGGTCTGTGTGACTCCAAGCTCAGGATGTGCTGCTGTTCTTTCCACCACTTTTGCCCAGCGCAGTACTCCCCCCACCACGCGTGACCCAAAGAAACACTTGAAGGCAGTTGTTGAAATATAGATTTCCCTGGAGACTCCAACCCCTTGGTCTGGGGCAGTGCCTAGGAATCTGCATCTGGCTAATCTGGTGATAAGGCAGAAGCCCCAGGGAAGGACACCCCCGAGGGCACCCAGTAACTTCTGCAATTGCAACTCTCCACTCCTCACCCCTCCCGTGCCATGCGTGGAGAGACCATCCTGATTTCCCCAGCCACCAACACTGCTGGTTCTCACACCTCCTAAAAACCCCATTCACCTGCCAACAACCTATTTCATGCGCTGCTCCTTCCGCCTGAAATGACCCACTGCTGTCCTCCACCTGGTGAAAAACAAACCCTGCTGGAGGAATCACGAGCCTCACCATGAGTTCAAAGTCTAGCTCAAGTGTCCGGGAATGGCAGCCAGCCCCTCCCCCTGGCACAGGTGGCCCTGTTCACCTTCACGTGGCCCTGCCCTCGGGCTTTCAGTTATGAGACGGTGTGCAGTTATGAGCCTCGCCAATGGAACAGAGCTGTTGGAGTTCACATCCCAGCAGTGAGACCTCGAGCAAATGGCTTAACCTGCCTGGCCTTGACTTTCCTCATCTTTAAAATGGGCATAGTGACAGGACCTGACTCATTCTAAGGATTAAATGAGTCAAGGAATATGAAATGAGGCTCAGCAAATGGTCCCTGGCAGACACTGGGAGATGTAGGCGTGTCTGCTCTTCACACGAAATCATCTCTTCACGCATGTGTCTGTCCCCCTCGCTAGACTGTGAACACCCAGAGGTCTGCATCTCGCTCATGTCTGTAGACCCAGCACCCAATGTGGTGCCTAGAAAATATTTAATAAGGAATGAAGGAATCAGTTGCTCTGGGGAGAGGTTAAGTGGATTCAGCCTGATCCTGGGGATGGAAGGAGACAGAGAAACATGGGGTCCCCAGAAGATGAACTCCAGTGAAGGATGGGGCCCCCATTCATTCTCCTAAGAAAACCTACCCACATGATAGACCAAACTCAACCTTCCTCTCCACATGGATCCCAGACAAACCCGCTCTTCTTCCTGAATCATCCATCGTTTAGTCACTCAACAGACCTATACTGTCAACACCAAGCCTGAAGCTGTGATAGGTGCCAGGAAAGCAGCAACAAAGACAAGCAGAATGAGACAAGGAAACAAGCAAACAGAAACTACTAGACAGGTCGGAGTCTCCCTTACCGCTCTAGGATACAGGGTCAACTTAGAGAAGTGAGGGTGTTTTCACGAGGTCGTGCCATTTTAACCAAGGGGGAGGGGAGCTTGTGTCACTAGCTGAAAGGTCTCCAAAGCCAGACCCCTCAGTGCCAACCTTGATTCATTTCTCCATCATTCCCCATATCCCACCTCTTCTCAGAGGGCAGAGTTCTAGGTCGGTAGGCAAACTGTTGGTGCTGGATGGGCCCCATGCCTTGGACAGAGGCCTTCAGGACCTTGGAGAGCGGGCTGGTGCTTCTCCAAAGGGATCTGGCTAACCTAAGGTCAATACCAGCCACCTGCACTCATTTTTCTACCAGCTTGGAACAAGTCACTTCTCTGTTCCCATTTATCTGCACGTTGTGGTGGCATTGGCATTCTTGGTCTTGAAGGGCCCTTCCAAACTAATGAATCAATTTTGGAACAGTGGATGTGATTTCATTCAGTTCAGCAGAGCTAGGAGATGATCCCCAGGGATCTTGGTGCCTTGGAGAGAATTCAAGACAGTGATTTCTCACTGAAAGATGTAGGAGTCAGGACAGGAAGAGACGGGATGGTAGATATTTTCATGTTTTTTGATATTTGTATTGAAATGGAAGAAATCACAATTTCTGAGAACCTTCTATGGATTGAATACTGTGCTGAGCCTGGGAGGTTCCAAGGGAATTTAAAACAACATGCTTGCTGCCAACCCTTTGAGTGGGACCTTGAACCAATCTCTTACCACTTAGGGCTTTGTCTTCCCCATCTGTGAAGAGAGACAGTAGAACCCAGCCCCCTCTGGTGCTGGCAATGTGTTATTTTCCTGTCTACCTGAGGTCGGATAATGAAGGGCTACTATGCAGGGGCTGCTGGGCCTGCTGACTCCTTTGCAACTCACAACTGCTTGTAGTCTGAGACAGGGAAAGTTGCTTGTCAAAAGTCACGTGGCTTAAAAAAAAAAACTCACACAGCTCATAATTGGTGGAGTGTGGATTTGAACCTTTGACTATCATATTCCAAGTACATTTTCCCTCCCCATCTGCCCCCCGCCCCAGTTCCTGTACCCAAAGAAGGAGAGGCTGAGCAGAGTCTGTCACAATGAACAGAATCTCAGACTATGAGGGGCGGGTGGCGCTTATCCCTCAAGTTCAGGAATCCTCCTGCAGTTTCTGCACTTCTTAGGAAAGGTCAGCTTAGGCTTATGCTGTGTCCCAGGTGCTGGGCCAGGGGCTCCAGGAGGAAGCAGATCTAGTCCTTGCCTGCATTGGGTCCCCAGGTTGTTGGGGAGCCCTCACTGAACTGGCTACAATATAAGGTGGTGAGCATGGAAGGCAAGGAGTATGTTGGGGACACAGAGGAGGGGGTCAGGCCCCTGCCTGTGAGGTGGTGGACTGCTCCCCAGAAGAGGGAACATCTGAAAGGGAGTGGGGCTTGGCAGCCAGAGAACAGCAAGGAAGAGCGCCCTGGCCGAGGGACCAGAATGTGCAAAGCATGGAATAGACTTTTGGAACAAAGACACAGGCTAAGAAACAGAGGTCAGAAATAGCCTCCTGTGGGGCCTCCCCTGGTGGCGCAGTGGTTGAGCGCTGGGCCGAGAGGCTGCCTGCGGCCTCTGCAGCGCCAGTTCGTTCCCCGGCCACCTGCGAGGGTCCCACACCAAAAAAAAAAAAAAAAAAAAAGAGAAATAGCCTCCTGTGGACTGAGTCCAGCGTGAGGGATGCGTCTTGGATCACAGATGGTTGAAAATGTTTTAAAAACCTTTTGTTGCCATCATTTAAAAGCCAGAAGATTTTATTTCAAAATCCTGATTTTCCGTTCTCTGAAATTCTTGGAAGATCTGAGCCTAAATTCCCTGTGGCCCCAAAGGCCGGCAGCGAGGAGTGGCTGTTCCGGTCCACCCCACCCTTTTGTGTCATTTGCTTGGGACCATAGACATTTTGAGGTGAGGTTTCCTGATCTATAGCATAAGGCACTTTTTTTAATCTGGGTGTGACTGGTGCCAAAATAGAGACTGGGAGAGAAGGGGACCGAGTGGGGAGTCCTGGAAGCTGGTGGGTGCCCCTCTGCAGAGTGAGGACAGGGCTCTCCCCTCCTGCTCTGTACGTCTGGGCCCCAGCCCGTCCCCGGAGGCCAGACAGGGAATGTGAGGCCCCATCTTCAGTGGTTTGGCCTCTGGATCCCAGGCACAAAGAGCCTAATTTTAACTCAAGCTGGAGATCAGGGCCTCTTGTTTTCCTGAAAAATACATGTTCCTTCTGTGTTCCAACCAGCTCTCCAAGGTTCTGCCTGCTGGCAACGGTAGAGCAGCTACAATCACTTCTAAATAGTCATTTAGTAAAACAATCAAACCTTTTTGTGCACAAATATGTTTCTAGATTAAAAAAAAAAAAAACACAGAAAACCAAACACCTGTATCTTGGCGGCAAACACTTCCAAAGAGCGCAACTGCTTCAGTGACTGGGGCCAAAACAAATGGTTTTCCCAAGGCCAAACGATTCCAGAATGTTTGCCAAATGGTTCCCACCCTTCTCAACATATAGTAAAATCAGCAAAGCACCAACATTAAAGAATATTAAAAACAGAAAAAAAGCCAAAGCAAAAAATTAAAACAACAACAACAACAAAATGCACCCACACTCCTCAGGGCTGGCACCAATGTCTCTGCAGTTGCCTGGCCTGGTTATTCCGAAGACTCTCCCCAAAGTCTGAGCAGCTTGGGGGCTGGGTGAGAGGAGGAGCCAGGAGCTGTCTGTCCTTGGAGGTTCTCAGGCAGGAGCACATCCTGGCGCTTGCAGCGAAGAGCCCGTCTAGCCCTAAAGGATGCCCACTGTGCCGCACACCCGTGAGAGCTCAGCGCAGGAAGACAAAATGGCAGGAACAAATTTCTTTTAATGCTGAAGTTTGGGATCAGGAAGAAGTTGATCAGCCCAGCTGCACTAGCGGGCTCCTGTGCTCACCCTTGCTGAGTCTCAGCTCCCTCATCTGTGAAATGGGTGGTAGCTAGCATGGAAGGTGAGGGTAGGACCCTGCAGAGTGAGTGGCCTTCCTGCTGGTCTCCCCTCCCGACCCCTCAACCCCCCCTTCTCCCTTGGCTTCCCTTTGCTTGCGGCTTTCCAGCCCCACTCCTGCTGAGCCTCTGCCCAGTTTCCTCTTGGGTTGAGGCTCTGATGATCTGGGCTTGGGTCTAAAAATTTGGAGAAGCCACTCAGCATGGGTGCTTCAAGGTGAGGGAGCTCCTGGGGACCAGGGAAATGATTCCTGTAGGACAGGAAGGTTTGATTCGACCTTAGGTACAAGGACATGTTAAGCCGATCGCAGTCCAGAGACGGAGCTGTTAGGGACTCTTGCGCCGGACACGGGAGCACAGTCAAGAGAAACATGGACGAGTGAGTGTGTCGCATCAGGGGAGCCTCCCAGCCCTTCTGCCTGGAGGCTGCGAGGCTGCAAGAGCAGCAGGATGTGGGGGACAGTCTCTGCTACTTCCCTGGCCTAGGGGCTGCCAGGGACAGTCTCTCCCACCTCCTTGGCCCAGGGGGCTACCAGGGACAGTCTCTGCCACCTCCTTGGCCCAGGGGCTGCCAGAGAGTCTCTGCCACTCCGTGGCCCAGGGGGCTGCTGAGCCCCATGTGCTCGCTCACGGTCGCAGGGGTCAGGGAGGTCCAGCCAGGAATCCTTGGCACTTGCTCCATGCTCTGTGAGCACACGTGGGCACGCAGCGGGCCCCGGGGGGCTGGCTGGGCAGTGGTGGGTGGAGAGGTGCTTCCAGGACGGGTGGGCTGGGGGAGGGTGAGCAGGGGAGAGGTTAGGTGGTTGGCTGAGGATGTGGGTGTAAAGCAAGGGGAGAAGGAAAGTGGAGGGAGACGCACGAGTGGGTGGGCGCGTGGGCGGCGGGTGCGGGGACGGCGCCGGGGCAGCAGTCTGCCGGGGCTGGCTGCGTGGGCATGTGAGTGGGTGAGGGGCAGCGGGACAGAGGAGCAGCGGGTGGGGCCGGCAGGCAAGCCAGCAGTTTGGGCAGCAGGAAGCAGACAGACAAGTGGAGGCGAGAGCGGGGTGGCTGCGTGGCTGCTGGTTCCAGGTGGAGGGGCAGGAGGGACGCGGGGCGGGGGGCGTGTTAACAAGGAGGAGGAGGCTGGATGGGAGCGGCGGGTGTGGGCATGTGGACCGGCGGGACGGTGCGGGGGTGGGTTTGGGGTGCGGGTGAAGAGCGTGAGAATCGCCTGGTGGACGTGTCGGCGGGTGGGCTGCGGGTGGCCGCGGGTATTGGCAAATGCGTGACCGGGTTACAGTGACTGCGTTACAAGCGCACTGAGGGCCTGGTGGCGGCGGGTGCCTGGTGGCGGCGGGTGGGGTGCCCAGGTGGGTGGGTGATGGGCTCCTGAATAGAACAGGCGAAAGCTGGCTGGGTGGGTGAGTGCGAGCGGTAAGGAGGGCGGGCTGTGCGTGGGGTGGACACGGGTGAGCTGGGGGGGCTGCGGGCAGATGCGGGTGGAGGAAGGTGCTGTCTGCGCTGATCACTCTCTGTGTTGGCAGGTCACCATCCACACATGGGCGACTCCTGGCCGCGGAGCTCTGCACAGCAGCCACACCATTTGGCCGATTCCTGGCCCCGGAGTTCTGCACAGGAGGCGCCAGAGCTGAACCGCCAATGCTGGGTCCTGGGGCACTGGGTGTGACCAAGACCCAGCCTGGTCCACAGAACTCAGGCCGGCGGCAGTGGCACCAGCCCCTGCCACCAAATCACTGGTCGGCGCCACCGGAACCTGGCCTGTGTCTGTGAACTGGGTGGAGAGACACCAGGCCCGGCCTGCCTGCCGCTGTTGGGTCTCAGGGCTCTGGAAACGGCCAGGGCAGCTGAGGGAATGTAAGGGACACAGAGTGACTTTGGGACAACGAACTCTTGCCACCACATGCTGAGTCCTGCTGGTGCAGCTGGATGCCAGCAAGGCACGGACATCGGCTGCTGGAAGCCTGGGCACCCACGAGCCAGCCAGGAAGCTTGGGAGGTGCCCAGGTGCAGAGCCGGGGGCGGCAGAGGCACTGCCTTGCGGGGTCACCAGGCAGCCACACAGTAGGGCTCAATAAATGCTTGTTGAACCTGTGTTCCTACTGTGTGTGGGGGCCAGTTGCTCTCTGGGCTTGGCTGCCTCCTTACAGCTTCTCTATCAGGTCCTCAAGGATCCTGAGGGTGACAGCCCTGAATGCGTGGGGTCAGCTGTGGGGCTCTGAGAGGAGCCTGGGCCTGGGGGACAGGGGGTAGGGTAGAGCCAAGTTGGGAGATTGCCTTGGTTTCAGATGTGGACAAGGCAGGGCCAGGGAAGTGGAAAATGTGGGGTGGGCAAAAGATGGGCCCTCGAAGCCAGGCCCTAAACTGGGAAGATGGAAAAAACATCTGACCCCCGCAGGGAAACCCTCTACTTTCTGTCTAGAGCCACCTGTACCTCAAATCCTAGGGCTCAGGAAATAGATCCCTATAATTAAGATGAGGGAACTTAGGGTCACAGAGATGAAGTAACTGGAATAAGATCACAGACTGAGCAAATGGCAGAGCTGGGGTTTGATTCAGGATTCCTAAGCTCCAAATTCTTCCCAGAAGAATTTCTAGAGCTTTCCCCCAAGTAGAACAAATTCTTTACTCTTCCATAAATGCAAAGCTCCTCCACCCATCCATCCAACTATCCATCCATCCACACATTTGTCATCCATGCACCATCCATCCATCCACCATCCACCTTCACCTCTTTCCCATCCATCCATCCATCTTCATCCATCAGTTGTCATCCCTCCTAGTGTTAGACATCTACCCATCCTTTCATCCCTCACCCCTCCTCATTATTCATCCAACCAGCTGTGTTTCCATCTATCCAATCATATAACCCACTGTGCCCCTACTATGTGCCAAGCACCATGGCAGGCATGTGATGGGTGTCTGTCCTCACAGAGTGTGTAGATGGGCAGGATGGGGAAGCACCCAGAGGTCACAGCGCAGTGAGTCAAGTGTTCAGGTGCCCGGCTCTGGACACGCCACCTGGCTTCAGATTCCAGCTCCTCCTCTTGAGGCCTGGGCCAGTTACCTGATGTCTCTGTGCCTCAGTTTCCTCATCTGTTCAGTGGGAGTAATCTTTATACCTACCTCTTAAAGCTGTTCTGAGAGTTAAGTGAGTGGACGTACATGACACATTTAGAACAAGAGCCCTGCACAGAGTAAATGCTTTGTTTGGGGGTTGCTATTATCTGGAGGAGGGGATGTCAGGGCGGTGGATCCCAAAGTCAGCACCTGCAGCCGGGGAGAGGTTAGGGAGCAGCTAGGGAAGCCTCCTTTGGGAAAATGGCCTTTAAGCCAAGAGATGAAGTTTGTCTAGATGTCAGGCAGGCAAGGGTGCAGAGCGGAAGAAAATGGGGAACGTTATGGAGCTTCAAGATGGTCCAGATGGCAGGTGTGGAGGGAAGGGCTGCAGCAGCGGCGGTGGGAAGTCAGGCTGCAGGGGTGGGTGGAGCAGGCCCGGGGGCTTGGGCGCCCTACAAGCTCACAGGTAACTGCGGCCGTGGTGCCCGGTGCTTGCAGCAGAGCAGGAAGTGCCTGGTGAGCCTTAGAGGAATTCCCGTGAAGTCTGTGGGTGACGAAGAAGGTCCCCACGGCTGTGGACGGAGGAGATGTGCAGACGGCTCCCAGCCCCGACCTAACCGCGCAGGAAGGGAGGGAAGAGAGTGGCCCTGGGATGAGACAACGAGGGCAGGAGCGAGTCAGGAGGAACATCATCAGCTGAAGGGGACGCTGGTGGTGACCCTCTGGTTAGGGGCTTCGGTGAGAGCAGTTCAGATGCGCTGAGTCTCAAGTGCCCGGTGGACACCAGGGAGGGGTGTGCTCATTAATTCATGCATGCACTGAGTAATCGAGTGAGTGCTTCATTAATTCATTTTCCATTCATTCATTCATTCATTCATTCATTCAATATTTCAGACCTACTGTATGGGCGGACGGGGAGATGGGCCTGGGGACAGTGGAGCCCAGTTCCCAAGGCCTGAGTATCAGAAAGGCGTTGGGGGTTTGGGCAGACAGAGTCCTGCCGATATGAGCCTGGGCAGGGGCGTGCCCAGCAGGCATCAGCCCAGTGCACCAGGCACCTTGGGGCGCTTTATTCTTACCCTAGGTCCTGCTGATGTTGGCAAGTGGCCCGCAGAGGTGCAGGAGATGATTTTAGCTGATACATGGGCAAAATTTTAATCTATTTTAATAGTTGTGTTTATGTAAATGTGTATTAGAAAAAATGTATAATGGGCACATGAATGCCCTGATTTCACAGACATTATTGCTTAGGATGAAGCCAAAATAGGCATTTAAGTAAAAAGAAAAAGAGTCGGTTTTAAAAAAAAAAACATTCAATAAATAATCGTGCAAGTGGAATGTGATCATGGTATGTGGGCGGCCCCTGCAAGCTGGGAGGGTGGGGGAGAGGAAGGAGGCCCATGGGGCCAAGCAGCTTCCAGGCCTCCTGCCCCCTCCGGGGCACCTGCCAGGCAGGGCCTGAACACTAGTGGCCTTTCAGTCTCATGGAGACAGCCTGCAGCAAGAAGACTGCTGGTTAGATCAGAGGCAACACTTCCAGGCAAGCAAGCTGAGTAATCCCAAAGGATCCCGGCTGAGAGTTAGCGGGACGTTGTCTGCAAGCAGGGAGCGAACGCCACCCTCTGCCCAAATCTGGGAGGAAGGCAGACCACGCGGTTTGAAGGCAGGGGGTCCTGGGTGAGCACAAGCCTGGATTGGGACGCAAACAGTTTTTCTCTCTCCTCCCCCACAAACAGTTTTCCCAGTTGCATGGAATGGCTGTTGGCTTTGGGGGTGTGTCTTGACACCCGCATGTTGACCTGACACAGCCCAGCAGTTTGCACGTAGCCTGGTTCTGACCTTGCTGCACACCCAGTGTTCCCAAATCCACAGCCTCTGGACTTGCGTGCATGCCAGCTGGAGGTTGTACCGGCATGAGCTGGTCCTTCATATGTGCACAGGACTAACGTGCCTGTGCGTGTGTTGGCCCTGTATTGTGTCTGCTCAGTGCCCTGAAGTGGGGCTCTGCCCTCTCATTGGCCCCCATCACCCCCTCTCTCCCCAGGGGACGAGGGCCCTCTGGGCCACTGCCCCTCCCCTGGCCGAGGGCTATGGGCCGGCCAGGATGTCACTGGGCTGACTTCCCTCCCTGACTGATGGCTGCGACGAGCTGCCGCCCCCACTCCCACCAGCGCCAACCCGCCTCGGCCACACACTCATCTCCCTCGGGTAATGGAAACGTCAGCTTGATTCATGGGTGTTCGTCTGTGGCAGCCGGGCCTGCAGACAAGGCGGGCTCGGGGGTGGGGGGCTCACCTCTGGGAAGAACCACTGCTGCCAGAGAGCTGACCCCTTGCTTGCGAGGAAGCGGGGATGGGCAGCAGAGTTATGCCTGGGTTCAAATCCCAAGACCACCACAGACCTGCTGTGACTCTGCCCCTCCATGCACTATTTTCTGAGGCATCAGGCACTAACCTGTGCCCTGGAACCTCCACAGTGAACCAGAAAGACAGTCTACTCTTGTGGAGTGCGTATTCCAGGGAGGAGGCAGAGATAACTCAACCCTAACGATAAAAACATCATTTCAGACTATGGGAAGTGAACCGAGGAAGGACCTGACTTGAGCTGAGGGAAGAGAGTGGGCCTCTCAGAGGACGGGCCACCATCACAGGGGCTGAGGACAGGGAAGGAGGTGGTGAGGTTAAGTATGGGCAGAAGTCACGTGTGCAAAGGCCCTGGGGCTGTGAGGACCCATGTGGTTGTGTTGGGCACTAGGACAGGACAGTGCTTGGAGCGTGGGGCGAGGACACAAGGTCTGTTACTCAGCAGTAGGCTGGGGTCAGAGCAGTGGGGCCTCGGAGTTGAAGCCCTCACCTTGAAGACCACAGGGTGCATTTTGGGAAGTCCTCTCTGGCCGTGTGTGGGGAGGGCCTAGGAGATAGGTGAGTGGGAAGAGGCAGAATGACCGGGGTGGGGGAGTGCTGCAGCAGGTGCGTAGACCCTGGGAGGGAGGGGTTACTCTGTGCAGCTGGAGATGGGTGAGGGGTGTGAGGGGAGGGGGTGGGGCTTGCCTGGCCTTTCTCTAAAGCTCCTGTTTGGCCATGCAGGGCCTTGGTGGGAGTCAGGAGCAGGGGCCACCTGAGTAGATGACTGAGAAAGCTCCGTCCCCAAAGCACAGCGCAGGGCCCTGTGCGCACGGCTTGGTGGGCTGGAGTTCAGCTCCGCCCACCCCTTCACCCTGGGCTGCGAGGCCTCGTGCAAATGGTACTGCCGCATGGGTGCAGGCCCCACCACGGGCCTGGGGGCAAACTCAGCCCAGGTGGGACTATCAGTTATGAGGAGAAACCCATCTCCTCCGCAGGGGATTTACCACATGGACAGACGGGAACCGCAGCATGGCAGCTCTGCCCTGTGTCCTGCAAGGCCCACCCACACCAGGTAATTGCTTCTTGGGCCACGTCATATGACTGACGCTGCCTGAGCATCTGCCTTATTGGGACTGGCGGCTGGGCTGGTGACCAGAGGCCTGGCTGGGAGTAGCCCGGGGGTGGGGGTGGGGGGCTTGAGAGAGGGGCCCAGAATGCCAGGGGGAGTGAGATGGGGCCTCTGCATGAGTAGCCCTACCCATGAGGGGCTGGGGGAGACTGTAGCTGGCAGAGAGCTGCTCAGGCTTCAGGGCCAGCTTATGACGTGGGACCAAGCAGCCAGATCTTCCAGTTTGTTCTGAGAAGCAAGGGATTGTGCAGACTGGCACTGCCAGCCCACCCGGGCAGGTCCAGCCACCAGTTTTTGATCTGCTTCACTCACAGGCTGAAGTATGTATGGGGTGGGGGAGTGTCAGGAAGGGACCAGCCTGGCTTCGGGTGGGGTGGGAGGTAAGGCCTGGAGGGATCCAGGTAACCTCAGCAAATGCACCTGTGATGACAGAGGGTTGGGCAGCATAGGCCCCTCTGAGGGGGCAGCTGCAGCTCAGCTCCAGTGCTCCCCAGGGCCAGGTCTTCAAGGTTTTTCAGAGAACCTAGAAATCTAGGGTTCTCTGACAGAATTGCGTGGAACCAACAGATAGGAGCAGGGCCTTCCCACTGCTGGACTGAGAAGGTAGGCCCCCCCGGGATGGAGGCCTGAGGGGAGAGTCCTCTGGGTGCCTATACCTGCTCTTCTTAACCATCTTCTCCACTGTGGCCAAAATTCATTTCCAGGAACCCACGCCTGGGTAGGCCCACTGACCTGGGCTCCTCGGGGGCCCCTCAGCTGCAGCCTGGAGCTAAGTTCTACCCTTGTGTGTGTGTGGGGTGGGGAGGCTGGGATGCAGCATGCAGAGGGAGCAAGGCCTCTGTCTTCCTGTGAGGGCTGAGGGTGGGGACTGCCACCTCCCTGGAGATGGGTCACTGAGGGAAGGTGGCTGTTCCCACCGAGGCCAGGAAGAGGCTGAGCGTGGCCATGCAGGGCTTGTGAGGCTTGTGAGAGGGAGAGCCTGCCTACACATAGGGCTTACTGGCTCCCCGGGTGTTTGCTGGTTGGTGTTGAGCCAACATTTAAAAGATTTCACGTTTTAAAAAACAACCCTGGATTTCTGGGTTTTCTGAAAAACCTTGAAGACCTGGCACCGGGAAGCACTGGAGCTGAGCTGCAGCTGCCCCCTCAGAGGGGCCTATGCTGCCCAACCCTCTGTCGTCACAGGTGCATTTGGTGAGGTGACCTGGATCCCTCCAGGCCTTACCTCAGTGCTGATGCTGTGTGTCTTGGGCAAATCACTCACCCTCTCTGTACCTCAGTTCTCTTATCTATAAGATGAAAATGGTGGCTACCCTATAGGGTTGCTATGTGGATTAAATGAATTGTGTCAGCACATACTCACCACTATATGTCTATATGGGCTTCTAGAACCTGCCCAGGACCCACGACCCATTTGCAGGTGGGAAAGGAAGGCTCAGAGAGGGCGCATGCCCCGTGTCACACGCCAGCCTCCAGGGGCCCCTGACTCAGGCCTTGGAGGCAGCAAGTGCTCCCTCTGTCTCACCCCAAATCCAGTGTGTCAGACTATATTCGTAATAACATCTTTTATTGATTTTGCTTGAGAAAAAAATAGAAATTTATTTGAGACTTAATGCCTATACAGCGCTTTTTTCCCTCCTAAATTGCATGGTACATACAATTATTATCAACATCAACGGCGATTCCGGGAGCGAATGTGCGTGGTGTTTGTGCAATCTCCCCGACAGATCTAACCTGCACCCCTGCACCAGTGGAAAGCCGGGGCCCCCTTGAAAGCGAGGGCACTGGTTTGGGTCACTAAGAGCTGGTTTGACCAGCTGGGCAACCCCACAACTGCAGCTCTCCGGGGAGCCCAGATCCCCAGGGCCCCCGCCACATCTGGGAGGTGAGCAGAGAAGCCGGGGGCTTAGAAGCTACAGAAATGAAGGCTCTTCTCCAGGAAAAACAATTCCTTATCTTCACATCAGCCCCACGCTCCAAATGAAAAGCACATTTGCATAGCTGCTAGCGGAAGCTGCAAAGCTCATAAAGTATTTGCCGGGCTCTCGGTTGCATAGGAACGCACTTGGAGTACAGTACGCAGCGGGCCGGGCCCGGCGCCAGGAAAACAACGGATTAATATTTGGAACAAGAAATTACCCACCACCGGGAAACCAATTAGGTCCCTGATCCGAGCTTGTTACATCGATGGAAATAGATGCGTTTGGGGCTCACTGGCTGGGGGTGCAAGGCACATTTCCAACTTGGTGGGAAGCTGCTGGAAGGGGTGGGGGCCTGGGCAACAGGAGCCTCACTGCCTGCTTCCAAGGGCACAGGCAGAAAAGGCAGCAGGACAAGCCCGCGCTCAGAGCACACGGGATGCCGCAGGGAGTGTGGTGGGGGCTGCCTTCCCCCCAAGTTCAAGTGGAAGGGGAGGTAGGAGGTGTGGTGGGGCCCAGGGTGGGCTGTGGCACGGGTCCTCCGTCTCCCCGGTGTGGCGAGGGTCTCTGCACGGGCCGCGCTGGATTCTGGGGTCTGAAGTTGCCCGCCTGTCGGTCCTAGCTGGGCTGGCAGCACAGCGGAGACCAGTGCCCAGCCTGCCAGGGCCCAGCTCCTTTTCTTTGCTCAGCAGGACACATGCCCTTAATCAATCCCTTTTCAGACTTGACAAGAGGGCAGCGGGCCCTGCATGACCAGCTTCTCTGGGGGATTCTTCCTCAACGGGGCCTGGGATGAATGAGGGGTTGTGGCAGTCCTGGCTAGACATGTGGGGGTTGAGGGAATAAGCCCCCCTCTCAGCCAGCTCCACCAGTGACCCTCCCCACCCCCACCCCAGGCAGGGAGGTGTGTGTGGAGGGGCCTCTGCAGGCAGAGCCTTGTGGCACACATCGCTCACGCTGGCGCTGGCGCTCGAGGCCTAGGCTCCCGGTATGCTCAGCCAGGCTCTGGACACTGAGCAACCTGGATGGGAGGCCTCCCCAGTCTACCTCGCTATCCTGGCCAGAGTCAGGGCTGCCAGGTGTCTCATGACAGGCCTGAGTGGACTCGAGCCCCGCTTGCTGGATCTTACAGGTGAGGTGCCCCAGCCTCCTGCATTTTGCCCCAGACCCTGCATCCACCCTGCGGCATCCCCGGCCTCCTCCTGCCTGTAACGCCTGTTTTCCAGGGCCGTCCACCCCTTCTTGCCAGCAGGTTCCCCTCCACGCTGCAGCTCTCGTCCAGCCCCTGGGTCTTGACTGGTTGATACTGAGGACTGAGGGCAGGGGCACAGGTGCTGGGGGCAATGATGGAGCCCACCCTGGTGGGGAGGACCAGCTCTCCCGCCATGGCCAGTCAGCACCGCCACCGTCTTGCTGTCTCCTTCTCGCTTATGCAGGTTTTGGGGCGTAAGGCTGTCGAGGGAGAGCACAAGGGAGCCAGAGTTACCAATCCTCAACCTCAAGGGCTGCCCAGGCTCTCAGGGGAGCCCAAACTGCTTGGGGTGTCATTCAAGGCCCTTGGGGATGTAGCCACCACCTGCAGCTCCTGGCTGACTCACCCCCTGCCCAGAGGGGCTCTGCCATGCAGTCCCTCTAGGCCTTCGCCCCTACTGTCCCTTTGCCAGGCCAACTCCACCAGTCTCTCAGGATTCGGCTCAAATGCCGCCTTCTCTGGGAAGCCTTTTCCTTGGCTTCCAGGAAGCCACGCCATGCAGGGAGGGGTGTGCAGGGAGAGGACTGCCTGTCACTTGGGGGGCTCCTGGGTGGAGAATAGGGGTTGGAGCACAAGTAGGGGTGGGGATGGCATCTCTCGCTTCAGACCACATTCCCCAGGGGTCCTTCTGGGCAGAAACTGAAACTGACCTGGGTCCACTGTGCTCTGCTTCTGCTTCCTTTTCGAGTTGGTAATGATTTGGTTTTCATTCATCATCTGGACATCCTGATCCTCCACCTGATTACTGCCGGAGGGAGAAGACAGAAGATTCGATCAAGCTCCAGGCTTCGTGGCCCTGTCATCTGTCCTCGTTAGGGTTGCAGGGAGAGGGAGGGTGTGCGATGGGCTTGGGGCCCACCTGATGGCAGTGTGCTTCTCCTGGTGACAGATGTCTGTGTCCTCGGTGAACAGGATGGTGTGGTAGGGTACTGTGGGCTCGCATGTGGGCAGGATGCCCCCGACCAGGTGGCCCACCATGGCCAGGATCCCATTGTAGACCAGTAAGTCATCCACCAGGAGCTGGACAGACACAGAGAAGGGCTGGATCCCCCTCCTCCGCCACCCGTGACCTCAGGCAGAGCCCCTTCCTGCTCAGAAGGTCCCACTGTGTGCCCGCCTGCGTTAGGATGTCAGAACGCCCCGGCCCTCAGGAAGGGCACATGCTGTCAGTCCCAGGTTGCAGGGGAGGAAGCCAAGTTTCCAAGGACTAAAAACCACTAGCCCAAGCGGCAGGGCTGGGAGTCTGAGCCCCGGGCCCCCCATACTCCCCACCCTAGAGGTGCCTCCCTCCATGAAGCCACTATGGTTTAAGAGCTGAAAGAAGAGCCACTTTCTGTTTATTCAGGATGATGATTCAAATCACTGGGAGGAGGTTTTCAATTCACGGCTGGATGGCAAGTTTCCTACATCAGAGGACCAGGCATTTGTGTCTAAGGTTGCAACACAACGAAGTAAATCAAACTGCGACAAATGAAAATTGCCGGCGGCCTAATTACCAACGAGTATAATTATCTCAAAAAACCCAGCTAATAAATACTCACGCCAAACTCCTTCACCCCTCGGTGGGGCGTTTTCGCATAATTCCACAGTTTGATCATTGACACGGTGGTAGGCAGATCGAAAATCACATAAACTCGGTTCACCTGTCAGAGAGAGGCACTAATAAAACCCGGCATGTTTGGAAACAGAGGCGCTTGAATGAGCCGGGGGTGCCAGGTGTGGGCAGGGACCAGCTCGTGGGCGCCTGAGGCACTGCCGGTCCGAGGCACCAGCCTGCCTCTCCGCCCCTGGAAGCCCATCTTGAGTCAGCTCACGTGTGGCTGCGTTTGCAACAAACCGCTGAGCTGGCTCTTGGAGGGCCTGGTTCTTGGGCCTGGCACGGCCCTCATTTAAACACTCGAGGAGAATTGGGTGCTCCCTGGCCTTCCAGCCCCCCAATCTGGTCAGGCCCCGATAGGCAGTCTGGGGACAGGCCCCCAGGTGCCCACTCCAGAGGCAAGGAGCAGCGCCCCAGGCAAGCAGCACAGCTTTGACCCCTGTTTGTCCTTTGCCGGATCATAAATGAAAAGCACAGCAGACAGGCCCTGAAGGCGCTGCTGGGTAATTTTCAGCATGTCTTGAACCTTGCCAGGGTCGAGGGAGAGGTTGTCAGGATCAGTGGCAGCATCAGTTAGTAAGTGGGACTCAACAGCCTTGCACAACTCTCCCCAACAAAGACTCTCAAATATCAGGGGGCCCCTTGCAAGAGAGAGTAAAGCAATAAGCATTCAGTGTTGGCCACAGGTTTCAGGCTTATACTGGCTCCAGGTCCAGGTTCTCAGTCTCCAGGTTGCTCTAGGAGGGCATGAGGGCATGCTGCTGGGAAAGGCTCAGCCTTCTGACTGGACCATGGAAATAAAGGTCCAAGTGTGGGGAGGGGGGGAGGGGAGGGCGGGAGAAAGACAACTGGAGAAATGCCCCACGGCAAAAGGCCTTCCTTTAAGATGATAAATGGCTGTAGCCTGGCTCAAGATGGCGGCAAGTTTGCAGCCCTGGGCTTCCCAGCTCTGTGCTTCCCCTTGCCAAGGTGGGGGTAGGACGGCGGCTGGTGTCCGCTCCAGGGAAGCTGCTGGGGAGGGATTTGGAAAACCTGTCACAAAACTGCTGATACTTCCTGTGTTGAGAGGAAAATGTAGCCCCTTCCTTGGCCTAGTCACTTGGAATGCTGAGGTGAACACGGCAGCCCCTGCTGCACATTGCTACCCACCCCTGGCCCCTGTCCTGTCTGTCCGTCTCCTGCCCTCACCATGGACCCAGCCTTGCAGCTGGAGGCCCATCTCTAGCTTCACAGCAGCCCTGGGAGCAAAAAGACAAGCAGGACCAACTGCAGGGTCTGAAATCTGGGAAATGGAGTCAGTTGGTTGAAAGATCAGACCAGGAAGACCTGGGACCAGGCAGTGGGCAGGGGTGGGACCAAGTGCCAGGTGACTCAGGAAGGAGCAAGAACAGTGAGTGGAGACAATGGAACTGGGAGGAAGAGGACCGAGTGGACTGTGGAGAGAAACAGGCACGAGACCCTAGACGGAGGCCCACAGGGACCTCTTAGGATGCTGAGTCCCCAGGTCTGCTGCACCGGGATGCCTGGCTTTGGAGTCCCACATGGCCATTTCTTTCCCTGGTGTCCCCTTATGGCAACCAGCCCCGCAGCAAAGGCAAAGAACAGTGGCTCCAGAAATGGCCTCCCCATTAAGGCTAGCGAAGATCTAAGCCTTCCTGACAGCCCCCTGGGCACGCTGACTTATTCCAGATTAACTTGACCTGGAAGAGAGACATGTCATGAGACTGGGGACGGAGAGTCGACCCGTCCACCCTTGGCTGGGAGCCTCCAGGAACCCACCAGGCCGGGCAGGATGGGGGCCAGCCACATGTGCCGGCCGTCGCTGGTGTCATTTACTTGGTCGATGAGCTTGTCTGGGGTCCGGACGTCCCCACACACTCCCTCCAGGGAGTTGACGCTGTCGGGGAAGGCGGCGATATCTGAGGAGGTCTCTAAGCTGCCATAACCCAAAGCAGTGTGCTCAGTGCCCCGTGCCACTCTGTACCCCAGCCTCCATCACGCTGGTGGTGCGGGTCCAGGGGGCTGGTGGGGGGCCTGGCAGACAGAGTGGCTTTTTGCTGCTCTGGGTAGCCTGAGAAATGACAGCCAAAGTAGACATGTTCTGTGGGGTGTGAGGGAGCAGAGGGGAGAGGGGGTAGGGAGGGTAGCCAGCTTCAAGGAAAGGGGCAGAGACCAGGCAGGGAGCTGCCTGAGAAAGGAGTTATTTGGACTGCTGGTGACAAGCACTGGAGTTGTTGTGGCTGCTTTGAAGACTGCAGGGCAAACTCTGAGATTTTCTTTTGAGGTGACAGGGTCACAGCTGGATTCTGCCGGTGTATGAGGACTAGGCCCGGCCTGAAGGGGCTGGGAAGCCAGTCCCAGCTCTGGCGCTGCCATTCTGAACTGTGAGATCCTTGGCAGTCACGAGGCCTCTCTGGACCTGTCTCCTCACCTGTAAAGTGGGTCTAACAATCTCTGTGTCCCAGAATCGATGGGAGGCTCTCAGAGGGCACTGGGTGTGAATGACCTGGGTAAAATCAATGGCGCCTCCTCATGCGAGGAATCACGAGTAACCACCCCAAATACCAAGAAGCGTCTGCCCCAGGTAAGGAGGATGGCATCACCCAGGGGAGGCAGAAAAGGATCCAACTGGAACCCAGAGGCCCCAAATAGATAGGTGGGCCTGGGTAGTTAGCCCCTTAACTGTGGGGTCAGGGTCCATAGATTAAGAGCCCAGAGGACTCTGACATGAGACCAGAGTGAATCATTCAGAAGCCAAGAGCCTGGCCTCTGGAGTCAGACTCCCGCTCTGCCATTCACTGGCTGTGTGACCTTGGGCAAGTTACTCACTCTCTCTGGTTCTCATCTGTAAAATAAGGACATCAGCAATCCCTTCAGAGGACTGGTGTGAGGACAAATGTGCCACAGGACAAGCCCTGGCACAGTGCTTGGCACATGAGGAACCCCCAGTAAAAATTAACAATATGTTTGGGGGGCAGCTGGTAGATGAGTGAGGACTGAGATCAACTGGAGGGATGCATTGGGGACAAGGGCAGTAAGGACTCGGGCCCAGTCTCTATCACTTCGTACGGCTGTGGCCTCACAGTGCCGATTTTTTCAAGAGAAGCTGAAGATGGGGGCTTTTAGGTGAAACCTCCTGGTTCTTTAAAAATATTAGCAGCTGACTTGGAAAGTCACTGGGCTAATAGTCTGGAAACTCTCAGGGGGCCTTTCACAAGTAAAGCTGTGCTCAAAAGGTTCAGGATACAGAGTTGAACACAGAACAGTTGGCTACTCTCTGCAGGCTTTGTCAGAGTCTTTAGAACCCAAAGTGCTTGTGGCTCTCCTAGGGGGTCCCCAGATCCTGCTATGGACACCTCATCAGGCTGGCTGGGGGCTGCAGTCTGCCTGGCTCACCCCTGAGGGTGGGCATCTGACAGCAGGCAGAGCCCAGAGACACTTAATCCCGGCGTCTGGTTGCTGCAGGGATGTTCCCTCTATACTCAAGGCTCCTGGCACCTTCCCCTGTCTCTCCCGGGCCCCCTGCATGGAGGCCCCTTCTGCCTAGAAAGGATACTGTTTTCAGACAGAGGGATTTTTTCTCCCCGCTCATCATACAGCTCCAGGCCCGTGAGACCGATGTAATAGGGGTCACCCCAGCTGGTCAGAAGCTGAAACTGGAAAATGACTGGGACACGTTATTAAGGAAAAATGGGCTTAATTTTCTGGAGAACAAAGTAAAACAATGACAAAGATAACAGCAATTTTTTTTGGTTCATATAGATAATGAAGAAAAATATGATTTTCTTCCTCTGACTGAGGCTGAAGCTTATCAAAATAAAGACGGTATCAGATTTTCTTTAAATTGCATGCATGTGTGTGTGTGTGTTTAGAATTCAAAGCCTTTCTCCAGGACCGGAGCAGGAGGACAGGAGGGGAGGGGGCTCTCAGGGAGCTGGCAGGGGAGGAAACATTTGTGTCTCAAACTCATTGTATGTCTGGGCCTCAAAGTGTCTCATGCCTCAGCTTCCCTGGTTGTTCATCTGTCAAGTGTGTGGGGTTTGGGGTCGGAGGGAGGGATGCCTGAGCAACAGGAGGACGGGCCGAGTCCCTTCATCAAGTCTCTCTTCAGCCCAGCCTCCCAGTGGCTCTGCCATTCCCAGGAGCAGGCAGGGCGGGCAATCAGGAAGAGGTAGGTAGCTCGGGGCCTATGGTGGGCAGAGGCAGCCCTTCCAGAAGAACTGCTAAAGAGGCCGCTGCCTCATTCACTAACCCAGCCCTGCCCTTGGCAGCTCTGGCTTTGAACAAGCGACTTGGCCTCTCTGGGCTTCCCGTTTTCTCTGCTGTTAAGTGGGGGTGCTAGCAGTGGCCCCTCACAGGGCTGTGGTGAGGACTGAGCTCATACAGGCAGCCGCTGTGAAGAGTGTCTGGCCACAGGATGGGGCACGTCAGCTTGAGCTATTCTTACTTCGCACTTGCACTTCACCTCCTCCCTGCTTGATTCCTAGGACGGTCTGGTTTCTGGGAGGCAGTTCCAGCTTCTCTGGCCTCTCCCAGATGCAGTTCTTGGTCCCAACTCCTGGAGCCTCAGCCAGCAGGGGGCGGTGTGTGGAGCGCCTCCCAGCAGTACCCAATGTGCCCGAAAACCCAGGAGCCCCCCATCCTGTCCTTGATTCCCCTGCATGGCGCTCTAGCTGCCTGGACTGTGGCCTGCCCAAAACCCAGTCAGCAGCCAAGGCTCAGGGGCCGTGGCCTCTCCCTGGGCTCCAGCAGTGGCCCCCAGGGCCTAGGATGTAGAGGTGGAAGGGGGAGGATACAGCCGCAGGGCATCAGGGGCGCCTCGTAGTCCATACTTGCCCGCTCCAGACTTTTTGAGTCGATCCTGAAAAAATACAAAACAGCACTGGAAACAGAACATCAAAACAGTTCAGAATTGCTGGCCAGTTATTCTCCAGGCAATAGACTTTGAAGACAGAGGACAGTTTAGCATTCCCTGGGAGGCAGTGGGAGGAAGAAAGACACGCCTCTTCTCACAGGGAGTGCCCACTCTAGGGGGAGACTCAGGGCCAACACCAGCGCCCACTCTAGGGGGACACTCAGGGCCAACACCAGCGCCCACTCTAGGGGGAGACTCAGGGCCAAAGCCAGCACAGGGCATTCTGGGGCTTAAATGAAGGGACTCTTCTATCCCTTAGAACAAACCTAGAAGGTGGGTACTTTCACCTCCCTGGGTTGTGGATGAGGAAACTGGAGCACAGAGAAGTGAAGTCACTTGCCGAGGGTCACACAGCTGGCAGGTAGCAGGCAGAGAGGTGATCTGAGGTTGTGCAGCTGGGGACGGGGATCCATGCTCTAACCACCTGTTCTCTTGCCCCTCATGAATAAGGTAAGTCCATGCTGCTGAGAGCTGAGGGGGACCTGAGATGGTGGCACGGAGGGAGTATGGGCCGGGGTAGGCTAACCTGGGGGTGGCCAGGGTGCTAACATTTGAGGTAAGGAGGAGACAGCCACTGAAGAGTCAGAGGCCAGCTTTCCAAGCAGGGGAGCAGTCTCGGTGGCTAGAAACGGACTGTTGGTGTTTCCTGCAGGAAGCAGGAAGAGCAGGAGTGTGGGGTGGGATGTGAGGAAGGCAGGTTGAGGAGGCTGGAAGGTGGGGAGCATCCTGAAGGTCTTGGCTTTGAGACCCAGTGCAAGTGCCTCTCTAGCCTCAGTTTCCACATCTGTAAAACAGGTATAATAATTCCTACTTTAAAGGGTGGTTGGGAGGATGCCCTGGAGGGATACAAAGGACCTGGCCCGGACACTTGGGAGGGAGGGCGCTCTCCACATTCCTCCCTGTGGGGATCCTGGTCCGCGGCCTGTGCCCTTCCTTCCAGGCCCAGTTTTTTTTTCAATTTCAAGGGCAATGCTATAATTAAATGATGGTTTCCAGTGACCAGCCCAAGAAGTGATCCCAGTTAAGTGGAGGAAAATTCAATTTGTTTCCAGAGGTTGGCCTCTGGCGTTTGGACATCAGGGGCTTTAAGTGAGTAAACTTAATGCGGCATTTACAAATTGTTATGAACTTAATGTAGCTGAGACAGGGGCCAAGAAATCCCAGTGAATCCATGAAATGTTAGGCTCTATTTTTCTCTTTGAATCTTTCTAAATCAGGAACACAAAAACAAGATGAAGAAGGCCCTTCCCCCAAATGGACCAGCGGGCATTGCTGGAATCAGGCAGGCTGCAGCCTCTTTTCCCAGCAGGAAGCGCAATGAAGCATTTAAAATCTTTAAGCACTCCAGACTGTGAGAAACCCAAACATCCCCAGACAAGGTGGGAACATCCCACAGGCTTCCGGAGAGGCTTGGCTGAGCTTTAGAAAACGACCAAGTTGAAAAGCAATGCGTTTTTGATCGTGATTTCAAAACCCTTCAGGTCCATACTTCAGAGCCACGCACCAAGCCAGCGCCGTGGGCCGGGCTGGGGTTGGGACGTGACATGCGGGTGCCGATCCCTCACCTCTGGGCTGGCTGGGGCAGCAGTCGAGCCTGTAGGTAGTCCACAAAGAGGATTTCTTGAGCAAAATCAAAGTGGCAGTTACCAGGCCCCTTCCGGACGAGGAAGCCCTCTGGAGGGGAGACGCACAGGCTGTCCAGGGAGACGTGGACGATTTTGGCCTAACAAACAAAAGCAAAAATGTGCCTGAAGATGACAGGCTGGTGTGGAGGACAGCAGTGTGGTCAACATGGCCCATGTCCCTGGCAGCCTCACAGAGCACCAGGCTTGAGAAAGTGCTAGGTCTGGCCTTCCTACCAGTCTAGAACCACCTGGCCTGGCCACTTTTCCAGTGTTGTCCTTTCTCTGCACCGGGGGCTGTGCTGGGCGCTGGGCAGACAGCAGGGGACAAGGCCTTAGTGGACAATACAGACATTCTCTGGGCACCTTGGCTGTAGTCGCTGGTGGTGGTACCACATGGTGGTAGAGGGCATGAACTGGGGAGATCTGACATCCACAATTAGTAGTTGTCTGAGTTATTTAACCTCCCTATCTCTCAAATTCCTCATCTGTTAAATGGGCTCAATATCGAGTTCATATCTATGAGAAATCCAGAATAGAACAGTTCCTGGCACAAAAATGTATATACTCTGTCCCACTCACTTGGGCATGTGGGACATAAGGCTAGAGCTGCCAGTGTTTGCTTTGTTGGAGAAAGCCACCTGAAGTGAAGCAGGCCACAGAGAAAGCAGAGGCCCTGGAAGCCCCTGTCCCTTCTCTAGGGGTCTTACCTCCTCCGGGAAGTGCCATTGACATTTCAGGACTCTGCATTCCCCCAGAGGGCTCCTATGACCACCTCCATTGTATAGCTAAGGAAACTAGACTCTAGAGAGGCTAAGCCATTTGCCCAAGGACACACTGGGGGGATGTGCAGCCCCATATCCAGGAGTGCAAGGCCTGGCTCTGGCCACATGCCAGGGAACTGTACCCAGGGGGTATCCAGAAGGGTCTAGGATGCTTCTCCCCAGGGAGGGGCCAGTTTCCATCACATTGTGCTCTGGGATCCACCCTCTAGGCCTTGTGCCCACACCTGGCCCCCATCCCACTGCAGCCACTCGCTACTGGCACCATGGCTGGTGATGGCTGCACCCTGAGAGCAGGGCCTCTGACCCAGTGTTTCTGGATGGTGAATCCAGGTTGCAGAAGCTCCTCTGGAAACACTGCCTTCACTCAGGAACTGAAAGGCCCAAAGGCACCACTGAGGAAGAATGCCGCTTTTTCAATGCTGATATATCTGACTTCTGAAACGTGTGGAACCTGAAAGCACACTTAGGAAGACACAGGGAGGCCTGGGGAGGATTTACGCACTGCTCACGTGGAGCAGCAATTGCTCTGGCGAGTCCCCAGGGCTGTGACTCTCCCCCTAAGACCACAGTTTCTAAAAACTCCATGGCTACGCGGTACCTGGAGGGGAGGCAGAGGCCTGGCTCTGTCAGCTTTCCTGGGGCAAGCATCCCCCTCATTTCACAGATGAGGAAATGGAGGCCAGCGAAAGCAGGCCACTTGCTGAGGTCCCACAGCTGGTTAGGGCTGAGATTTGGACTTGGTGACCAGGGCCCCAACTGTGTCACCATGTTTCAAGAGACCTCATCATCTTCACATCTGTGTAGCGGGAGGGGATGGATGCGTCACAGTTCCGAGTCGCACAAGGTCAGGAAAGCCCAGGAAAAAGGTACTTCCAATGTTCCTTTCCACATCCCAGCCAACCCCCTGCCTCTCCACACCTGGGCAGGTGAAGAACACAGCGTGGAAATGACCCTGGGGGCTCCACAGGGGCAGACTGGACTGGAACAAGCTGTGTGACCTTGGACAACAGACGTCTGGGACCTTTTTAAAGCTCAGCTTTTAATACTGAAGATGGGGTACTAACCCCTTCCTCCCAGAGAGGGTAAAGGGTCCCAGGAAATGAGGAACTAGTGCCAACCCCTCAGCTCAGGGCCTAGCCCCTAAAGCGCCCAATGAACAAACAATCGACCCCTGTGAGATGGGGGCTGAGGGCCCCTGGGCCCTCAGGAGGAACAAACACTGCAGATTCCCAAAGCTGCCCTGGCTCTTTAGCCTGCATTTGCTGTTTGCAGAAGGAAATGTCAGTGTGCTCTCTCCCTGGCCCTAACCCCCCAGCTCCATTTGGAAGGTTCTGGAGGATTTATGCTCCTCTCCAGCAGCCACACCAGCCATTCATCAAGGCGCCGTTTTCCTGACAGTGGACTGAGCACGGCCGCTGTTCCCCGCTTACCCCTCGATAGGTGTCCTCGGGAGATTTATTGTAGTTCCAGAAGCGCAGGCCTGCGATGCTTTCGGCTCTGTCGAAGCGGATCGTGACCACGTGGTCCAGCCCGGGCGAGAAGGGGATCAGCCACATATGCTCATCCTCCATGGTGATGTTGGCTCCATCGATTAACCTGCACAGGGTGGGAAGGAGCGGTGAGACCCGGCAGCCCAGCCGGCTGGCAGAAGTCAGAGCGCGGGGCGAACACCAGCTCATCCTCCCCTGCCTGGTGGGGGCCTGGCTGGACCCAGTGCATGAGAGGCCATCTCCCATCTGTGGACTCAGACCAACCAAACAGACAAAAACAGGGAGAAATAACAGTTTATTCGGTGAAACAATCATCAAGGTTTAAAAAGGGGGAAATGAGTCATTTCAGGACCCTTTACCCCTGGATGCCATTTCCGAATTTCTCCCCGAGGAAAATTTACTTAACCTGTTGGAAAGTCAATCTGTGCAAAGATATTCATTTTAGTATTATTGACAGGTAACAAAAAAAAGAGAGAACAATGACTTAAAAGTCTCAAAAAAAAAAAAGGGACAGAGTTAAGGAAACTGTACAGTTGTTAAAGTGATCATCAGGAGGATGACGTGGCCACACGGAAAAGGCCAGCAGGGACACGGTTTTTGCTGCTGTACAATAAGGACGGGGACCTAGAGCATGTATGAAAAATTGAAAACTATGTTTGTGTCAGGGAGTAAGGGAGGTGAATATTTTTCTCTGTTTCCAAACTTTCTGTAAAACGTTGCATTGACCGACTGGCATATTTATTGGGATATTTATTGTTCCTTCTGTCTTGTGTGGTGGAGGGAGCCACTGAAGTCCCAGTGGGACTGGCAGCTTTTGGCAGTGGACATGGTGCCTCTGTAGGGAGCTGGTTTTACCCTACGGCCTGGGTGTCCCCCGACAGCCCTTAGCTTTAGGGACTAGCGGACTGAACCCTGGCTTTCTTCTCAGTCACCACTCTGAACCTGCCTCCTGGCCCACACCATTCCATCCTGGGCACAGCTTGCTCCTTCTGTTCAGGACACGCAGCCTCACCACCTCAGCTCACCCCTTTGTTCCAAAAACTGAACCGCCTGGCATGCCAGACCCCAGACCCTTCACCTGACCTCTGTGTCTGGCTTTGCTACCTGGCTCTAGGAAGAGGGGCCTGACTCTAAGGGCTCTTGGGTAACCCCTCCCTGATCCCACCCATTTTTCTGGTGACTTGGAGGCTCCTGACTAGGAGTAATGCAGGCTGATGCCACATTTCCTAGGTTCTAAAATAAACTTTATTTTTTCCCTTTACATTTTACAGCTTTGGATTTGGAATAAATCTTACAATCTAAGTGTTCATCCAAGGAGGTAATGTTTCTTCTTTCTCTAAAAGGCTGTTATTAAATTGATGGATGGTGTGTCTTATAATGGCTGGCATCTGAAAACTGAGGAAATTCAGCAATTTAACATTGGGGTGCTTGTGGAATTAACCTGACTGAGGTCTACCACTACAGAACCTTCTATTTCTTCCAAAAGCTATTACCTCTCTGTCCTAGAATTGTGGCCACCTCCGTAGCAAAACTACTGCCCAATTTTGAGAGTAGAGAGAATTGTTGGAATGTTCATAGCTGGCAGTATACCTGTCACAGTTCCTGGCTCTGGGCACCAAAAAGTCTAGAAATAATGACCAACCTGGTCGCAATGAGCATCCCCAGTGGTTAGATTATGGTTTCTAAATACCATCTCCCACTAGATGGAATCAGGGTTTCTTGGAGAAATGGCTGATTCCACATTTGGGACAAGAAATAGACCAGAGCATCCTGGCATATCTTGTCACATCAGCAAGCAAGAAAGTTGTCAGAGGCCTCTATTTTCAAAGAAGATTCAGGGGCTTCCAGTGTCCAAGAGGGGACAATTTGAGCATCAATAGGATAAAACGGTAATACACTGGAACCCTTCAAACACAACATGTCTAAATGCGTGAGTTTATGATAGGCAAAAGCAAACACCAGTTTTAAGGGATGCTAGAGAAGCAATTTGCTATTTTGAGAACTAAAAAATAAAGAGAAAGAAAGAAGCTGTTAGACGGTCCTTCCTGTTTGAATTCCTGTCAGAGTAACAAGTAATTGAGGAAAATGTTCTCCTTCTGGGTGACAAAAGGAGACGCTAGGGCTGGCAAGGCGCCATTTCACAGTTCCTAATAAAGGCAGGGTTCCGGTCACGGAGCATCGGGCCACCAATGCCACAGAAAGTCTGACAAGCAGACCTTCTGTGTGTCCCAGCAGGAATGTGCAGTGACGTCCACGCCCCAGGGCTCTGTCTTGTCACAACGGCCCAACAGCAATCTGATCAGGCTTCTAGATCTAATGAACAATTTACACGAAAGCGGCGGCTCCGGGAACAGGTTCAATAACATCACCGAGATATAACCAGTAAAATCCAGACTGTGCAGGACAAAAAGCCTGGTTCTTTAACAGCTAATTTACAAGAAAAAAATGAAAAAAGACGAAGGGAACCCATAGATTACAAGAGGCTTAGGAGACACATCAAGCAATCACAGTGTGCGGACCTTATCTCAATCGACATTCAGAGAACAACTGTGAAAAAGGATCGGGGCGGGTGAGGGCTGCTGGGGAGAAGCGAACGTTCTGGATACCTAGTAATTTAAAGAATCAATGTTAATTTCTTTAAGGTGTGATGATGATCCTGAGATTGTTTTCTTTTTTTAAAGCTCCTATTGTTTGGAGCTACAAAGTGAAATATTTAGAGATAAATTGGAATTTACTGCAACACCATCTGGGCAGAGGCAGGAAGTGGGTCGGGGGGCTGAACAAGCAGTGTGGGTGTGAGCCGATCACTTCTGCAGCTCCACATTTAAGTAGGCAGGAATGTGGCTTGCCAAGATGCGGCGTGCAGAGTGGCCTGTGAGCAGGCGATGACAGCAGGACATGAGTGCCACAGTCACCAGCACATTGTAGAAAAGCAGGAAGGAGCCTTCTGCTGACAGTGCGCACAGTCCAGGCCAGGCAGGGGCTGCTGCTGCCATGAGGTAACCCCCTTCCTGCCCTCCAGCCAGGATAAGGAAACTGAGGCAGAGGAAATAGTATAACTTAGTAGTGAAGTATAGCAGGTGTCAGCCTCATTCTGACCTGCAGTCACTTAACCTGTCAGGGTGGGCTTTGGCGCCTTCTCTGCTTCTGTGTAGTGCTGATTAGAGGGGATGGTAATAATAGTAATTTGCTCTCAGGGCTGTATGAGACTTAAATAAATGAATATTTATAAGTTTTTAGCATAGCCCAGACCTGGCATCTAGTAAATGCTCCAAAAATGGCAGCCATAATATCAGTTATAATATCAATTACATCATCATCATCATTATTATTTGTGCTTTAAGCTATTCTGATCTTTAAAATCTATGAATCCAGTTACAACAGTGGAAAATTAGTCAAGCCATTCATAAACTCTTTTATATTTTTCCGATTTGTATGTGTCTGAAGGTGTTCCTCCAAAGGAAGATTTTACTTAGAGTTCAGAATCACCATGAATTAACTAAGACACAAATGTAGCGTTTACTGAGAAAAAAGATATAAAACAGAAACTAAGCTATACATCAGATAACCAACACAGATAGACACAGAGTTCAACTCATTTAATAATTGCATCAAATAATTGTTTTGGTTGCCAGATTAAGGCATGCCATGCATTAGAGATTCATTCAGAGACTAGCAACAGAAGGCAGGAATAACTAAAAAGACGGACACCTAAATCTCCCTCATGTAACACTGTCAGAGAATGCACCTCTGTAAAAGGGGTGGGGCATTGAAGGGTGCCATTTTCCTCCACTTACACACAGTCACCTTGGACTATAACTCCCTGCAGGGCATGAGCTGGACTTCCTGAATGGGGGGCAGCTGGGAAGGAGCAAGGTGGATATATAAAAGAAGGCGGAATGAAGGTGGAAGGAAAGGAAAGGAGACACATGAGGAGAGACAGGGAGAGATACTTGGAAGAGACAAGTGGGTCAGAGACATATGGGAAGGCTGTTCCTGCTTCTTGGCAGAGAGATAGTGGCAGCCATGATCCTGGCTTCATGGTGGAGTTCGTGGTATATTTTGAATTTGGAGTCTCTTCTTGTGTCGTAGTTCCTGGGACCTGCCTAATACCCTTTCTTGTGTTTCCCTGGCAGAAAATATCTTAGACATGTGGCAAGCTTTTGGGCCTCAGTGGCCATGCTTTGGCTCAAGCTTGGTTAGTTGGACACTTGCGCAAGAGGGCATGGATGATTTTTGGAGTTATATTGGAGAACTATTGTTTGGAATCCTTTCTTCTTTCTCTCTATGCACACCAATTCTATTAAAAATCTTTCACACTAAGAGTCTGCTTCCTGGGCCTCCCCAGTGGCGCAGTGGTTGAGCGCTGGATTGTGAAGCCGCCCGCAGCCTCTGCAGCGCCGGTTCAATCCCTGGCTGCCAGGCGAGGGTCCCACATGGCACGCAGACCTCTCCTGCCGCCCGCTGCTCCCCTCAGCAGTGTACTTCATCAGTCTGCCTGCTCCTCTCTCCACTCTGTCTCTGGTGAATACTCTCACCCTTCCGCGCTTCTGACTGTACCCAGTGCTTGTATAAATAAATAAATAAACAAACAAACAAATAAATAAATAAATCTTTAAAAAAAAAGTCTGCTTCCTTTGTCTTTGTGTGCATGGATGGCTGGGCCCCCTTTAGAGTGTGCAGCCCTCAACAGTTTGGGGTCCCTGGGTACCCCTCAGTCAAGTGCTAACAAATTGAGTTCTGAGGCAGGCTCTCCAGAGCAGGCCCGTCCACTTCTTTGTGTCAATTACTTCTCTGCCTTCCTCTCCTTAGGCCTCGTTTTCTACCTTCACTTTAGCCTCATGCTCAAAATGTCAGGAGGCATCACACAGAGACTCAAGCGGAGCAGCAGAGGATAAAAAGGAGCAGCCAGTAGGATGTTATGCTGCTCGTGTCCCAGGCTGGAGAAGCCTCCCTGCCAATTCCACGCAGCACGTCCTGCTTAGCCGTCTCCTTGGCCAGCTGTGCCTCCAGAGTTTGCTGACATGTTCTTAGTGGTATTTTACTCTTTTGTTTTCTTTTGGGTTGGTTTCTTTGTGGAAGAAGGAGATAAGCTATCAAGTAGACAGCAACCAATAAGTTCTTTACTCTGAAAGGCACATCATTACTAATGTACCCACCAAACATCCAGAAGTTCAGAGTTTAAACACTCATTACGCTGCCTCTAAACTTTCTTCCCCATCTTCACCCCAGTATCCCTTATCCCTTTCTCACTATCTTGCTCTAGAGCCTTTACTGCATTTACTAATGTCCACTAGTTTTTGTAAGTATTTTACTTTGTCAAATTGTCTGTAACATCGATGTTGAGTATTTGTTTTTGTCATTCTGACTTGCTTTACAGTAAACAATTCCCTTCATTTTCCTGCAAATGGCATCATTTCATCTTTCCTCATGGCTGAATAGTATTCCTTAGTGTAGATAGACCACATCTTCTTGAGCTAGTCATCTATTGATAACATTTAGGCAGCTTCCATGTCAATATCAGTTATTATTATCATCATTACTACTGGGCTGTTGAAAAAGCCATGGCGTATTTCTGCATAGAAAACAAATAAAATGCGTCACGACTTTTCCGACAACCCAATATTATTATTATTGGAGAGGTTAAGAAAGGTATTAGCTGGCACAGGGCAGACCCAGGATTGGAACACTCACCCTCTGACTGCCCTAAGCCCCTCTCATTCCCACATCTAGGCAGCACCAGACCTGACAGCTGTGCTGAGCAGGGGCACCGAGTAAAGTCTTCAGTTTATGGGGTCCCCCAAGAGATGCTAAACCAGAGGCGGATCCCCTTGACTCGATCCCACCTGGACTCATGAAATCTGATAGAAGCAGTGTAGTCTTTGCCAATTACGGAAACTTCCTCAGCAATCACCTCCAAGTTCAAGCAGGGGAAGCTTTTAGTTTCTGAGAGAGGCGGTGTCCTCCCTGCGTAAGCACAGCGTTCACCGCAAGGCTTACCAAGCAGCTGCTGTGTGCGAGGCTGGTAAAGCTCGGCAGAGAGAACACAGAGGCTCCTGCCCACCACCCCAGGTAGACTGAAGGGCCACCAGCCTTTCCTGAACCTCGGTTTCCCTGGACCATCAAATAGAAAGACCACAGACCCGACCAGGTGGTGGGAGAGGGTGGAGAAGTGGGTGCTACTTGGTGTTTGACGCCTAAGCAGAGCAGGTCCTGAGCTGTGCTTTCATGAGCGTTAAGCTTCTCAGAGACACTTACTTATCCAAAGTCCGGGAGTCGTCGGTGTACTCAGGGAGGTCATTCAAGTCTCTTGGGGAGGCGGAGATCTGGTGCAGACTGATGGGCAGTGCCTGGCCATCCTTGCCTACCACTTCCAGGCCCGTGAGCCCCAGGTAATGTAGGTCCCCCCAGGATGCAGTGAAATTCAGCTGAAGGCCTGCAGGGAGAAAAGCGGCTGTGAACACCAGCAGTTCCAGAAGTCCCCTAGGGAGGTGGGAAAAGTAAATGGTCTTCAGCCTCTACATTCTACCAATCTGAAAGCCCAGACTCAAATGAATGTGCCTTTAGGATGTGCCTCCACACCTTTCCCTGTCCTGGGGCGCTCAGCCTGCACTCTGCTGTTGTTTAAGAGTTGTCTGCAGGATGATGGGGCCAGAGTTGTACTATATCTTCTCCCCACTGTTTGGCATCTACCCATTTCTCTAATCTCCTCTTGGTCGGAAGTCCCATGATCCACCCAGACTGTCTTTCAGTTTCTCATACTCACATCCCTCTTACTGGCCACAGGACCTTTGCATATGCTGTCCTTTCCCACAGGAACTTGCATGTCCTTGTTAAACTGGGCACATCCTTCAGATCCCAGCTCCTGTCATCAGGGAAGCCCTCCAAACCTCTTTGGCCACATCAAAACTTTACTTATAGCCTGCCATGTCACGGTGACCTTCCTCCTCTGTGTCCTGGTCCCCACTGTGATCTTGTTGTCAGGTGCTAAACATCCCTTTGCCCTGCAGGCAATTAATTCCCTGGGGCTAGAAACCCTGTGTGTTTTTCTGGACCATTGTCTTCCCAGAATTTGGCAAAGGGCCTGGTACCAAGTAGCTCAGTAAGATGAAGAGATTAAACAAATAACCAAATGGAGGCACCCCCTCAGGAAACCACACGTGGAAATTGACAATTTATGAAAATTGGCCACAATTACAAGGATTCATGTGAATTCGGGGTAAAGGAAGGGACCGATGGTCTTTTGCCCCTGCTCCGCCCTTGCTCCATCAGAGACCATTTAGAAGTGATTCGGTGGTTGTGGGCAAAATGGCCCAGCTGAGTCATTTGCTCGCCCGGGAAGCTCAAGCGTGTGGCTCTCTCGGTCAGGGCCTGTCAGATACTTGGCTGGAACTTCTCTTTCCTTAATGGTCTCCACTGGAGCGGAACCAGACCCAAGGAACTCTTTTGTCCTTGGAGAGTTTGGAGCCTTTTTTCACATCCTCTTGGGTGGCTATGTAAAAGAGTCATACTCTGTAATGCCCTGGGGCTGGAGGCTCCAGGCGCCCTGTGTCAGCTGGGATGAGGCTTAGAAGCCCAGAGAGATGGCAGGATGGTCCTGTGGCTGGAAGGCGAGGCTAAGTCACTTAACTTCCTAGAGCACAAATTCTTCTATGCCCCCGTCATCCCCAGACATCTTGGAATTCAGTCTCAGACCCTTCCATTCGCCAGGGCCAAGATAACAGCACCGTGGGCGCAGATGAAAAAGACATGCAACCAGCATTGTACTGGGCACACCAGAGTCTCGCGCGGCCCTCGCGCGGCGCTGAGAGCATGCAAATGGCCACCGATTCTTCCACCTACATCCTTGCCTCTCTTTGTAATGTAACTTTAAGCTTCTCCCATCCGAAGTGGAGTCTGTTTCTCCTGAATCTGAGCCATGTGACTTGCTCTTTCTACACATGGGGTCATGAGACAGCCAGTGGCAGGAGCCAGGCTCACCCAGTCACCCATCACTCTGGCCAACAGCCTCCCCACTGAGTGGTCCAACCCAGGCTGGGCATGCGGGTGGAGACATCCCAGATCATTCAGCTGCCAGCCCCCCAGACACCTGAAGAGGCCCCACAGAGACTAGCCAGGCTCATGGGAGAACAGCCCAGGCAAGCTGCTGGATTATGAGCCAGTCGTGAACAAACGGGACTGGCATTAAGCTCCTGAATTTTGAATTGTTTGTTCAGCTGCCAAAAAAAGGTGAATGTATGCAGTTGTCATCCTGAGCCTGTGTGCACATGCCGCCTCAGGGAGGCCTCGTCTAGTCATCCCAGCTCAGCTGCATCCCCACTCCATCACTTTAAACCCGACGACGCTGGTGACAATCTGACCACATTTTCCACATTTGTTGGCTTGTTTTCATCAGTGGGGAACAAGTATGTAGTGACCTCCTACTAGGTGCCAAGCCCTGTTCTGGGCACGGGAGACACGGGGTGAACACACAGCAAAGTCTCTGAATTCTAGGAGCTTCCATTGTCATGAAGACAGACAATAAATACATAATGAACAAACAAACATGACAGTTCCACAGAACGATAAATACCATGAGCAAAAGGAAACAGATGAGATTGGTCGAGTGGGAGCAGAGGTGATCAGAGAGGGCTTCTCTGAGGAGGTGACATTTGAGCTGAGAACTGGATGATGAGAAGGCAGCTGCCATCCCTGGAAGGCCACTCTACACTGAGAATGGCAAAAGTTCCTGTGGTTGCAAGGGTAAAGGTCGCTGTGGTTGCAACCCAGTGACCAAGGAAAAAGGTGGAGGAAAACGAGGTTAGAGGTTAGGCAGGGGCTAGATCATGTCAGGAAGTTTGGATTTTCTTCTCTCTGCGTGGGGAGCTAACTGGAGGGGGGAGTTCTGTAGAGGGGCTGGGGTGTAGATGACAAGATATGGTCTGCACCTTGGAAAGGGTACTGAGGTTGGATTCTAGAAGGAACTGGGGAGGAGGCTGTCGGGATACTGATGACATTGACAAGGGTGGCAATGAGGAAAATGGGGGAGAAGCGGACAGATGTGGGATCTGTTTCAGAGCCAGCATGGCCAGGACGCCTGGTGGCCTGTATGGAAGAGAGGGAGAGAGACATTTTGGACCTGCCTGTGAATGGCCAAAGGCCCCACTCCTGGACAAGGCCTGGGGGATTTGCAGGAGTGGGATCAGTGTAAGGGAGGAATGCCACCTCCCCAAGAAAATACAAGGCAGCAGCCCAGCCTCGCCCGAGCCTGCCATCCCTTTGTTTGCCTGGCAAGAGGCACCACGATGCCATCTAATTTGGGGCTGCGCCGAAAACGATTGCTCTCCTTTCTGAGCTAATAGCCACGCTCCATATTCATTTTCCTCTGGTGTATCAATTAGTATTTATATAAATGGAAATTAATTTTGTTATTTCTCTCCCCTGTTTCAACTCTCTCAGCTCCTTTCCTATTCATCACTGCTGATATTTGCAAAATGTCCAAAATTAGTGTCATCTGCAAATTAGCAAGTCATATATCCCCTTTCAAAACATTAACAGGATTGGCCATATTTCCCAACCCCAATGCATACCCCCTCACCCTGGGCCACTTTATCAAAGCTCTCTCCATTTGCACAAGCTGGTAAAGTAAGTTTAGGATTTTTGAGAGAGTGTAGAAAAAGCCAAAGCTTCAGAAAAGAGATTTAAAAAGCACAGGCCTCCAAACCTGCAGAGAACGCTTGATCAAGAGGTTCTTCTACCTTCCTACTGAGTAGAGAAGCTGAGAAATTACACTTTGCTTGCAGCAAAAATGTCTCTGAGCTTTACTCCAGGGCAAAACTCCCCACGGCATTGAAATAACATTTCTGAGAAAGGTCAGAAGCTGGTTTGGTGGGAAAGACATTTACAGACAGAATCTTCGGGGAAATCATGGGGTGATGGGGACGGTGGCTGCTCCTGGTCAACTAGGCCATCCCCACTTCCTTCTGCTATTGGTGCTTGGCCAAGGTTTAGTGACATCACATGCACACCTGGATTCAGCTGTGACGTCACAGGCACACCTGATCCAGTGTGGGAAACTAGCACTGCCCTGGCCTTTACAGTGGCTTAGCTCAGACTGAGTCTAAATCTCCATTGTTCACCCCCCAAAATAAAAGAAAGAAAAGAATCCTGACTGATGTAGGGGAGACCAAAGTGAACAAGAAATGACTGTCTTCCTCAGGACCTCACAGGTCTGCAGCGGAGGTCTTGTCTTCACAAAAACCTCTGATGTGAGGTAGTCTCTCAGCGAGAGCCCTGAGGTAAAGTAGTGAGGATGTGGGCTTGGAATTCAGACATGTTGGGTTCCATTCCCGGTTTCGGGAGTAGCTGTGTGACCTGGGGTGGGTTGCTCAAGCTCTCTGAGCCCATTTGCTAATCTAATCTGGTAGATGCAGAGAATAAGAGCTCTGAGTCCTCAGTGAGATACAGAGGGGAGCCGCAGCACAGAACCAGAGTAGGAGACAGGATCACCTCTCCAACCTGGTTCTTATCTACATGAGGCTGGCTTTGAAATTCCTCTGATGTCCTAGATTGAGAGTGTCCTGGGGTGTGAGGGGCTGTGAGGGTTCAAAGGCAGGCATCTTCCTTTTTTTTTTCCCCTCAGGGGTAACTGGCCTTTGTGGAGTGGGTGAGCAGAGATGAGTTCTCACTGGGCACAGGGGAAGGAGCTGGGGTACAGCAGAGCCTTAGAAAGGGGTATGGAAGAAGCTTAGATACTACCCAGGCCCCACCCCTCAGGGCCAGAATAGGCCTCATTCTGCCAGGAGCTGAGAGCACCATGGCTGACCACTCACTGTGGCCCCTCACTGTGATTGCCCTTAATCTTGCCCCTTCCTTGAACAGCGCATACCCAGCATTCTTGGAACACAGGGCCCGGCTGCTTCAAGTCATGCAGACTCCAAGGGCACTCCCTGTGGAGCTGGCAGAGGCCTTGGTGTGAATACACCCAAAGTCCCACTTCCTGCCTTCCCCAAGAGCACACCCAGTAAACGCCACCCCTGAGCTGCTTCCTGGGAGCCCAGCCATCGACAGAGGGCAGTCCACCTTCGACAGGCAGGAGTGGAGAGGGAGGGCACACCAAGCAGAGGGCCAGGCTTGCACAAAAGCCTGTAGGTGGGCTCAGGAGGAGTGTGTGCGGAAGACACTAGCAAGGATGAGGTTGGACTCAGATGCGCTGGCTTTAGCTTCATCCTGGAGAGGCTGGTGGGGAGCAGGGGAGGGAACATGACAACAGCATGGCTCAGCTTGTTGTCAGAAGAAAACTGGAAGTTGGTGACAGGTACATGGGGCAAGAGAGAGCTGCAGGTGAGGCTGCAAGGAATGAGGTAGGGGGCTTTGTTAACAGGGAACGGGAGGGAGATCACATCAGTCACGACCTCAGCCTGAAAATACCCTAAGATGGCAGGCGGAGCGGCTGGCGTAAGAGGGGCCTGGCTGGACGGGGAAAGGAAGAGAGAAGAACAGACACGGTGGAACCCAGATGGGATTTGCTGTGAGGTCACACACTGACGGCGGCTGGCTGATGACACTGTGTTTTGCTTGGCTCATGAGTTTCACATGATTATAAAAGGAATCAACAACATTTAAAAATCTAAAGTCCTGATTTCCCACTTCCAAACGAACTGGCATGCTGGGCCGGTATTCCTGCTGCCCCGCCCCTGCTGGAGCTGGGAGGATGCAGGTTTCCTTCTGCACCTGCTCTGTGGTGGGGTCTGAGGGGACAGCTGGGCCACTGGACTGGCAGCTGTCAGTTGTATTCTCTTGTTCTCTACTTACTGGGCTCTGGCTCAGCCACCTAGATGAGGTGAGAGTAACACACAAAGTTTGAAAGTGCACCTCTGGGAGCCAGGGCCAGCAAGCAGTACACAGGTTGGTTATCGCCTCCTGCATCTCTGTTAGTGTACAACCTGCCTGACTGTCCAAGGAAATTGTCCCAAGTGCCCACAACTCCCCGCAAAGGTCTTTCTTCTACTTGACATTGCCCCAGGAGAGGATACTCACAGATCCCATGGTAGACACCTGGCTCTGGGGTGGTGACTTCAGGGATAGGGGAACTGGGTGGTAGCTCCAGCTCCAGTACCTGCTCATGGGTTGGGAGAGAAATAGAGGGAAAGGGAGTGAATTTAGTGATAACTACACAGCTGGTTGGCCATTTTAACAGATACCAGTTCAAACAGGTTCTGACCAGAGGAAACAGGTTCTGACTGGTGGAAATCGGATAAACTGATATTAACCAGTTCTGACTGCATAAAAATGGTTCAAACCCACTCTGACCTGCTAAAACTGGTTCAAAGCAGTTTTTACTGGATAGACCCAGTTCTGACCAGTTGACTCCATAATACCATCTAAACCGTTTCAAGCTGGTTTTTAAAAGGTTTGTCTGTCAGTTGGAAGCACAGACTTCAGAGTCATGTATTCTAGCTTTGTCTGTTCACCCACTCTGTGCTCTTGGGCAGGTCACCTCGCCTGTCCAGACTTAGTTTCCTAAATGGGAATATTAATCATCTCTACTCAAGGCTTATTACAATGTGTTACACAAGATCACATAGCACTCCACGACTGGCTCACTAGGGAGACTGAGAAATGCCCACCAGGGTTGCAGTTATTTTAATTTCACATATGCCTATTAGAAGCATTTATGTCCTTCTAACAAAACAACAGTCAATGATCAAAATGCAATGCAAAGTAAAAATTCCCCTGAAATTGCCGACCTCTCCATTATAGAGAGGACACAGAACTGATTCCTCCTAGCTTTGCTTAAAATTTGAATACTTTCTTCACTTTGGTTAAAAAAAATAATAATTAGAGAATGAAATATGACATACAGGACAAAAATGAAGTAGAAAAATGAGAGATGTCAAATCAGTAGCACCAGCAGCTTAAAGGCTATTCATCTTCATTCTTCCTGTTCTACTCAACTTAGGAGCAGAAATCTCTCTCGGGACACTCCCCACCCGCTCACCCCACTCCCACCCCATCCTACCGGGTCCTCAGCCCACAGGCCAGCCTGGGTGTAGGGCCTCTCCTCGCCCTCGCGGTCGGCTGTGCTGGGCCTCCTCAGTGCCTCCTCATTCTGCAGGCTGCAAAGACTCTCCAGGTCCACATCAAATGTCTCATCAGAGCAGAATATGGCCTCAAGAATTTCATCGTCCATGGTGAATAAGATTGTGTCTCCAAAGTGCTCCGGGGCTGAATGGGTTATCAGGAAGAAGAGAAGTGTCAACTCACCCCAAATTCCAATGATGTGTAGCTCAGGAACTTACACAGTCCCAAATCACTAACAGTTTTTGTTTTGTGTACCTTATTTGTCTTCACATATTGCAAATGGCGTTCACACGGTAAGAATCACATAGCTCTGATAAAGGGGCCTAATCTAATGAGCATCATTGCTATCGGTCATGAAATAAGTAACATTTCTTAGGCCTGAGGGAGGCACTGTGGCAGATGCTATTGCTGCCCCATGCAGCTCCCTGCTAATTGTTTTATATTTCAGGGGATGTTTGCCTAGAAGGACATGGGAGCTTCACCCCCCAACCCAGGGAGCCTGCGGGGTTCCAAAGCCCTGCTGCTTTGCCTTAAAGGCAGGATAGACCCTGCAATTTATGCTCCAGAGCTGGGACCAGGCTGAGGCCAGGCTTCCTGCAAAACTATATTCTTGCCTGGCTTCTTCCCCTTTCATTGCCTGCAGCCCTCCCTGCCCTGTAGGCTCTCCTGGGAGCACCCTCTGATTAAGTCACTTGCAGAAGCCCCCTGTGAAGCTCAGGCTCTGGGGAAGCTGAGTAACCAGCACCCAGGGGAGGATTTAAAAAGGCCAACTCTTGCATGCCCAGGCTGCATTTGTGAGAAGAGGACCAGGTCTATCAAAGCAAAGGACACCTATCTGTCTCTGGCTAGCCCGCAGGCTTAGCTTTTCCTCAGCACCTTAGTGGGTAGCAGGTGGAAGCTTCGAGAATGTTCTACAGACATACCATACCTCCTGTCAGGGTTCCAGAGGCTTTGGCGATTTCTCCTTTAAAGATACACTGCTCGTCTAACAGCATTGTGATGTCCTTCACGCCGCGGAAGGAATGAATCCGGGATTTATTGTAATTCCAAATCCTGATCAGGGCGACTTGGCAAGGGTGCAAGAAATTGATGGAGATGGAGTGGGATTGGCCCGGCGTGAAGGGGGCCAGCCAGACGTGCATGTCGTCCTGGGTCCGGTTCACCCCATCGATGAGGTTGGTGACCACACGGGGGTCTCTCCCATAGGCTGGTAAAATATTGATGTCAGGTGGGTCTGCTTGAATGCTCGCGATTCGCACAGGCTCGCCCTTGGAGCTGAATATTTCTATTCCGTTCAGGCCAACGTAGTGCCGGTCCCCCCACGTAGACGTGATGTCGATGACCAAGTGCTGCCCAGAAGGCAGGACAGGGATTTTGAAGTCGCTCCCGTCGTCTGTCTCCACACAGTGGTTGAACTGCCCGGCCTCCGGCTCCTGCTTCTGCTCCTTCCAGAGCGGCGGCTGGTCGCTGTGGCGGCTGCTCTTCTGCTGCTGCAGGAACTCATCCAGGATGTCACCCTGGGCCTCCAGGTTTGAGATGCGGCCCCGGTGGGAGCGGTCGAAGGCACTGAGGGAGTCCCAGGACTCATGCAGCGTGTGCTCCTGCTCGCTGCGCCACCGGGGCCTGGGTGGGGTCCTGGTGGGCCAGGTGTCTTCTGGAAGGAAGGACACAGGAGGTGGAAGCCCCATTAGTGGCACGTGCAAAAGTGAGACCCCTTAGAGGTGATCTCACCCAGAGGTGGGTGAGAGCCAAGGGCTCTCAGTGGTGGGGGGGCATTCTAGAAACCAGTGGGTTGCTTCTGGGGGTCTCCATGCCAGAGGCCCTTTTGGCACTTGCTGTGCAGGCCAGGGTTGATAACCCACTGCGCTGCAGGACCACTACTGTCTCACGATGCATCCAGGTGGTAAAGACAGGATGGGTTCCTGAGCCTAGAACCTGACTGTTCTCACAAAAAGTGAAGTAGTTTTCAATGCACTTTGAATTTTCTAGGAAGGCAGCTACGTGCAAATCAAGGAGGACTATTTTATTGTGTTGGAAACTTCTTTTCCTTAGAAACTCGCCTACCTGGGGCCATGTAAGAGTCTGAATCAGTGACCCTCTGTAGGCTGCCCCGGCCAGGTGACTCCTATGGTGTTTTCAGGCCTGCAAATGGCAGGTGCATCCTCGTAAAAGGACAGGAAATGGGAAAAAGCTAGGTAGGCATTTTAGAGGTGGCCTGTCCTAGTGGGTGGCAGGTATTGCCATTGTTCATAGGGCTGGCTCTGGATTTGGGGCGGTGGTGGGAGTGCAAAGGATGCAAATAAAAAAGCTAAATAGCCTAGATACATTACAAAGTGAGGAACTGACTTCTACTTGTGGCTCTAGGAGTGGAGCTGGGTCCAGGCTTGTCCAGAACACATGCTGGGCCTCAGAGGGGTGGTGGGGAAGGCCCCACTCCCCTCCTGGTAGAATCTAGAAGCCCTGGCCTGTGCCTCTGACAGAGGCCTGTCCCCCCAGCCACATCATGGCTAACTGCCATCTAAGGGTGTCATTCTGGAAAAACAGCAGCTGATGACAGACATTCTGTTTTTTCTCCTTTCATATCGCACTGTGCCTTTTGCACTCCATTTTCTGCCTGTCTCCTAGGGGGCCTGGCTCCATCAATTATCTCCTCTCTCCAGAATCCTCAATCATTCCTTCCCCACTGGCACCTCTCTGCCTGCAGACATGCATAAATCTCTCCTACCTGAAAGAAAATAAAGAAAAAGGGAGCCGACCTCATTGCGTGACTCCCTCTGACCGCCATCCTATTCCCCCCCTATTGCAGCGGACAGGCTGCACCCTCATTTCGCTCAGCCCCTGCAACCCAGGTCCTTTTTGTATAGCTATTGTACTGCCCACCCAAACTCCACTTCCCCTTTTCCTAAGATTTTCCTTGGGGGAATCCCCCTTCTGGCCATCTAGTTTAGGCAAATGCCAACAGCATCCTTCCAAGCTGGGCTCAGAAAGGACCTCTGGAGGGAGGGGCTCTCTTTAGACTGGAGTTGCTCAGCTGGCAGGAAGTAGATATGGAGTTGCCAGTGGCCATTTTGTTGCACTGTGTGTTGGGGTGGGGGGTGGGGGCCTCCCTGAGAATGAAGCCAACATGGGGAGGGGAGCATAAGCAGAGATGGAGAGAACCCATGGATCCAGCTGTATCTGAGTCAAACGCCTGCTGGTTTCACGTCCCTTACATCCTGAAGAACCTACTATTTCCACAACCCTCCAAGGAAGCGACTTTCTCTAAATACACAATGACTCCAAGCACATAATTTTTGCTCAGTCTTCGTGCTTGACATCCCAGCAAGCCTCTTCCAGGTGAGCGTCCTTGCTCCCCAACTTATAAGACATTGTACCTTCCTGGCTCTCCACGTCCCCTGCTGACAGCTCTTCTCTATCACACCAGCCTTCCCTTCTCCCCACGCCGTGAGTGTGGGCATCCCTAGGCCTCAGTTCCATCTGGTCCTCTCCCAGTGCTGCCATCCCTCTGCCCTCATCCAGCTCCTGGCTTCCACGAAGGCACCGCTCAATGTCAAGTTCTGACTTCTCTGCCCTAGGCACTGTCCACTCTGCTACTTTCAACCTCAGATGCCGAGAATGGAGTTCACCATCAATCCTCCCACGGACAGAATCTCTGCTATGCTGACAAAAATGACAATCAAATTCCTCACCAAGCCCCCAGGCCCCTGAGTGTGGCCCCCACCTACTTCTTCTCATACCTCCACTCACACCCTTCTCCCCTACATCCACCCTGCTCCAGGGATACTGGCCTTCCTGTTTTCCATGAACACAAAGGCCATGACTCAGGGCCTTTGCTCTTGCTGTGTCTTCTGCCAGGGAACTCTTCCCCAGGTCCCCACTTCACTAGCTCTTCTTGTCACCCTCCCCTTTGGAGAGGCCCTCTGTGCCCTGATCCCTGCTGTGTCCTGGTGCTTGGCACGGGACCTGGTGTCTGGAAGTGCTGGATCAATGTGTTTGAGTGAAGAGGTGGGTGGTGGCATCGCATGGTGCACCCTCTGTGCTCAGGTCTGGGGACAGGGTAACTCCCCCGTCCACCTGTAGCTTCCTCTGCATCTGTCCTCTCCCCTCCTTCTCACCTGCCTTTAAAAGAGATTCTAGGAGTTGTTCCCATGCTTCCCTCCAGGCATGAGGCCTAACATCTGGCAGAGGGAACTTCCCATATGGATCATCGTAACTGCAGTTTACTGTGATCTGATTCCCACTGCCTGAAATGAACGGCCGGAGTTGCTTTGCAAGAGCCCCAGGAGAGAGCATCCATGGCAGGTGCCAGACCCGGGGTGCACGCAAGGCGGTTCTGCTTTCATTCTGTGTCTGTTTTCTGATGGATTCCTCCCGAGTTGCACCTCTGGGTTTCAAACGCAGAGAGGTAAAGACTTTCTCTTGGGCCTCTCAGCTGTCACTATAGGCTGCGGGCCCATGTGCCCATCTGTCTGGGGGGGCCCACGCTCCTGTCTGTTGGGGGGGGGCCCATGCTGCCCTCTGTCTTCAGGAGAGCACACTCTTTCCTAGTCCTTGGGTGTGAGGGAGCTAAACTGGGACCAGGGCTTTGTCCCGTCTTTCCCGACCACACATCTGAAGGTACAACAGAGCGCTGCTGCAGTCTGCAGGCTGAACCACTGGTCTGAGAGGATGGGATTGAAGATTTAAAACCACTCCTTGGTGGAGACCCATATGAACTAAGAGGTTCTGAACCTGAGTGTATGGAAGTCACCACTGCGAGGTGTGCGTTAATCGCTAGTGAAACAGCGGAGCCAAGTTTACTCAGTAAACTGCCCTTCAGCCACACACAGTTGATGGGACAAGGGGTGGACAGACACCCGGCCTGAGTCAGCCAATCAGAATCTCTCCGGAGATTTGGGATCAGCGTGGTGCGCAGTGCAGGGACAGCCGACCTGGTGGGGAAGAGGAGGAAAAGCGCATCTGCAGAGAAGCAGAGGAAGGGACCAGCCTGAAGCCCGGGGTCAGGGAGGGGGGCTTCTTTGGCGCCTGCCAACTTACTAGATCCTCGCTCCAGTCCTGGGATACGCAGCTACACTCCCTGCTTTGTGGGGTTGAGGAGCTCCTGAAGGATTCTCCAAATGCCACTCGCTACTGCTGGCACTGGACTGAGATTTCACTCACTGGTAGGCAGCTGACCCCGATGAAGACACTTGCACAAGGCAAATGTCATTCTAATGAGATGCTCTGTTGGACAGGGTTTCCTGGCTCTCTCCTGTGATGCTCAGCCCGTCCCAGGCCCAGGAAGAGCGCATGTAGCACCCATTCTACATCAGCGGCGTATGGCCTGCCCCTGCCTGAAGGGCATGACTGTGGGTTTGGCTCTATGTAATGGTAATTTAAAATTTCTAAGCAACTTTCCTTTTGAGCATGACCAGCTTAACAAGCATTAAATCTCAAGGGCTTGGTTCTTAATGGGGCATTGAGCCAAGCAGTGAAATGCCTGGAAAGAATTAAAGTGAGACAAAGTCTTCTGAACATGAATGAGTAAGACTAATGCTCGTTTCCTCGACACTCCCGCAGGTCCTGTGGTCTGTTTACCAGGAGGGCGTGGAATTCCCCAACTCTTCCAGGGTGGCTGACGATGGCTACAGACACAGGCCAGCGTCCTGTAGGGCCTACAAGCACAGGTGCAGAAGTGGGACCTGGGTTCATATCCTGCTCCAATCTTTACCGGCTGAGTGAATGGAGGAAAGTTACTTCAACCTCACATTTTCTTTATCTGTACAAGGAGGCTGGTGTGAGGATTAAATGGGGTCCTTTGAGTAACATGCCCACACCACGGCCTGGCTTGCCCACTAGACAATAATGGAGTAGATGCTGATTCAATGCATGGAAAGCACATGCATTGGTTCTGCAGACACATTCTAAAAGGCAGAGTCACGGAGTTGGGGGAGTGATGGTGATGATCATGATAATAATAATAATAGTCAGCAGCAGCTGACATCTGTTGGATAGTCCTGCATGCCAGGTAGAGCACCGAGTGCTGCACCTGTATGACCTCCTTTGCTCCGCCCAGTACCCCATGAGATGGGTGTTAAAGGCATCACTCTACAGACAAGCAAACTGAGGCATGGAGGGGCTTCAGGGTGAGCCCCAGCGTGGCTGGTGTTGTGGAACTGGGGTACAGGCCCAGAGAGTGTGGCCCCAGGGCTTGTGCTTCTATGCCCCACAACCTGACATTAAATTCAGAGGATTGAGGGAAGAGCCACGGCTTGGTAGATGCCAGTGCTTGGTGGATGATAAAGGACGTGCCACTGTGTTGGCGTAACGGCTGCTTCTTGTGAAGCACTTGACACGTACCAGGTTCTCGTTACTGCTCTGAAGCCATCATCTCGCTCATTCTTTGCCACACTGAGAAATGGGAGGTTTGTTCCCATTTTATAGCAGAAGATGCTGAAGTTCAGAAAGTGGAAGGCCTCCCTAAGAAGGCCCAGCTCTATAAGCAGCAGAGTCTGGATTCAAATGGTTTTGATGGAGGCCAAGAGTAGAAAATTTTGGAAGGAAGCATCATAAGACCAGAAACTGGAGGTAGGGATAGAAATGCTTAACATAGTCGTTAACAAGCTATAGAAAAGTAAAGTTTCCAGAGGCAGCCAGAGGTGAGGAATAAGGAGATTGGGGACCATTGTAAAAAAAAATCACCTGTCCTTTTAAGTCTATCTAGTGACACCATGAATAGAAAAAATCCTTAGGTGCCAAACCTGGAAATAATTAATTTAGCTCGTTAACAATTCCAAAGGAGAGAACCCCTCCCAAAGAGAAAAGACTATATCAGGGCAACTTCTGCACTGGCAAGATGCGGCCCTCCTGCCCACCTGTGACTATGCAGGTCTTTCTTTTCACTAACCTTTTCCTTTTGCAAAGCAGCAGAGGCAGCTCCTCCCAAAGCTGCTGGCCTGTGACTGGGCAGGCGTCTCTTTTAGCAAACCTGTCTCTTCAGTGGCAGCTCTTTCTGCCCACTTGTGTCTGTGCAAGCATCCTTTACTTTTCTTTCCTTTTTTGTAATAAACCTGTCCATTTGGATATAACTAAACGTCTCTGCCTCATGGGGAAACTTGCTGTATGCCACTGAAAGGGGAGAGCGAATGGAAGTTTTTTCCAAGGTAACCCAACAACCCTGCTCTCTGAACCCAACATCTCTCCAAACCAACATCCGTTTGACTCCAAGTAGCCAGGCTATACTCCTTCCCAGGAGCCAAATCTGAGAGTAAATATTCAGAAAGCCAGCCATTGATAGCCTCCTTTCAGAGCCCTTAGCGTTAATCTACTGCAAAGTTCAAAGAGCAGGTGAGTCAGTCCTGCTAGCAGATGTATATATTTTTTTTTTTTTGATGCACACAGTGATTTAAAAATAATCCCAGTAAGTTGCCAGTGTCAAAAAATAAGAATATTCTACACTTCTGATTTCTCTTGTATATGGGCCTGGCACTCCTGAATGCCAAAAAGCAGCTTGGGTGCAGTAGCAGCTGTCCCATTTGAATGAGTCTGAGCTCTCCAGTTTGCCACAGTCCTCACTATTCCCTTTAGTACTTATATAGTACCCAGGCAAATGTCAGTTGCTATTTATCATCAGACTCATGCTGTTTTTCTAAGAGTTCAGAATAAAATAATTAGAGAGCAGTGGAATAATGGAATAAGGAAGTCTAGCAAAGGTGGAATAATGAAGTCTAAATTGGAAAAGCCATGTACAGCAAGACAAACAGGCAAAGGGACAGATCTTGGTGACAATGACAAATATACCCATGTGTTTAACATACAAAGTCTCTTGAGCATTTCACTCATTGATGCCATCTGTGGCCTCTCACGCAACACATTTGTGGCCCCTCACGCAACACATTTGTGGCCCCCTGGTTGAGATGAATTCCCTTATTTTGCAGATGAAAAAACTGAGGTTCAAGAAGTTAAGTGGCTTCATGCCAATCCATGGCCCTGGTGCAGGCATGGTGGTGCCCAAGCCAGGATGCTGCTTAAGCTTACCTTTGCTGGCTGGCTGGCTGTCGCCATGACAGCTGCTGAGAGCGTCCTTCTTCGGGCCCCTCCTCCCACTAGCAGGGTGCTCCCTGTTGGGGGGTCGATTAAAGATATCCAACTCATCACTGAAGACTTTGGGGCCCACCCTCTGGGCTCTCTCACCAGCTCCGACATTCCAGCTGCTCGCCCGCCCTTGCTCTCGCCTGAGGCCTTTATCCCCGACCTCAGTCTCAGTCTCTCCACGACCCTCAGCCATGACGTCATCTGATGGCAGCCTGCCTTTCCAATCCAGTGCCTTCTCAGGACTTAGCCAGAGGGGTTTTGGCTTCCTGCCTCCTTGCTTCCTGCCTTTCCCCACGGGAGAAGGTTGTAACCAGGAAGGGGTTTTCCCTGGTGCTTCTGAGACTTTTCTGCCCATGAGGTTTTCCAGCTGTTGGATCAGAGAGAGCTCCTGCTCAAGAGGAGGGCATTCCATGGGTGGAGAGGGCGCTGGGGCACCGGCCGTGCCATCCATGGAGGCCGGGGCTGCTACCAAGGCGAGCTCTCCCCCTAACTTGGACAAACTGTCATTCACGCAATCGGGAGCATTCGTCCTTTCGCCAGATAACTGTCCTTGTGAAGGAGCCACGTCCACCGCTGCTGCAGCTGGCTGTGGGTGACTGAGGCCCCGCTCCTTGTCCCCATCGATGCTAGCCATCTTGCGGGTGTCTCTGCTTTGTTCCGAGTGGGCATTAACGGTGCTTTCCATTCTTTCATTCTTCTCGTTCCTCAGGTCAACTAGAATGCTCTGGTCAGCCGGGGCCTCTCCGCCTCCTTTGTCTAACTTGCCATCGAAAATGAGGTTTTCATTGACATAAAGCTTCACGTTCTTGGCACCGATGTCGAGATCCTGAAAACACAAAATTTAACAAAGTGAAGATGCGTGGCATCAGACTGCTGTATCCAATTTCAGAACGGAGGGTAAAAAGGGCAAATGTGGGATGCTATAGACGTGAGCCTTACAAAACCACGGCATGGGGGTGCTACATGAGACTCGGGCTCATATCTGTGCAACTGTTACACACTCTCTAAATCAAAGGACTTTCACAGAGAGACAGCATTGCTGTCGCCCTCATCGTTACCTCCTGCTGGGGTGTTGGTAATGGCCTGCTAATTGGCCTCCCTGCTTCCTGTCTCTTGCTACTTCAACCTCAGCTTCACATGGCCCCCAGGAGCAGATCTGGCCACCACTTCCCTTTGTGAAATCTCTCATGTTCTCACTGCAACAGCAGAATTCTGAAAAGCACAGCTCCTGGACCCTCTGCCTCAAGGGTCTGGCATGCACACAGAATGCATTTCCTTGGGTCTCATGTTTTGGGTGCTCCGAGGGCCGAACCTGAGAAAAGGTGCCAAACTCGAGGGCTGGTGCTCCCAAGAGGGGATTGCAGGAGAAACCCCAAAAGTGTTTGAGCTGGGGAGGCGGGGGAGGATGGAATTCCATGCCTAGGAGGCCCCAGGATCCTGTAGAACAAGCTTCCAGGGTGTTTCTCTCCTCCTTGCTGAAGTTTGCCACTGGAGCTGGGGGCACTGACTCCCTGCCACATGCATAAGCTGCTTGGGGGCTTTGGGAAAAGGCCCCAGAATGGAAAGGCAGAGAGCTTGGAAGCCCGGGAGGTGGTGCCCGTTAGCCCACCCACTGTGTGGTCCCTCTTCAGCTGCAGGCAGAGAGCTGAGGGGCTGTGGTCGGGGAGCTGCATGGCAACAGGTTCTCCAGATGATTCCTGGGCTGGTGGAAGGTGGAGCCCGAGGCTGAGAGGATGAATTCCGAACGCCCAGCAAGACACCTTCCCAAAGGCGTGATGAACACCCAGCAACCTTCACAAAGGCTGGCATCCCTACACATGTGCCCCTAGATTCTGCAGAAATACAGCACCTCTTTGGTCACGCTTGAAATCAAACCACACCTCCTCCTGCCACTGTCCTGTCTGTCCATCCCTCCAACTGCAAAACTCTTTCTTAAAGAAGAGCATCATCGAGGAATACATGCCATAGGGTAAACAACACATTTAAGGCCTAGAGCTCAGTCACATTTAAGGCCTAGAGCTCAGTCACAGTGGGCCTGCATATACACCCAGAAACCATCTCCACAGTCCAGACAGTGAGCATATCCATTGCTCCCGAAGTTTCCTTGTGCCCCTCCCTCACCCCCTCTTTCCCCACCTCCAGGTAGCACCCATCAGTTCTCTGTCGCTGTAGATTAGCCTGCGTTTCCCAGGTTTGCCTGAGAAAAATCGTGCAGTGAGTGCTCGTCTGGTTTCTCTCTCCGCACAGAGGCTCCAAGCCATCTCCCTGGCAGCTCTTAGGCGTCGCAACCCTAACACGCCCCCTCACGGAGTTCTTGTTTATTTATTGATTTATTTTTATCATGCTATTGTTTCTCGAGGAAACAGTGGTTTACCACACTGGGTATGATGTGGAGGTACAGGTCCACACCCTCCAGGTGCCTGTCACCACACCACAACCACCGCCAGGCACCTGTAATCCTCTACCAGCACGGAATTCTGACTCAATTTTCCCAAACCTCATCTACTCCCACATTAAAAATGATCCCACCATCCATTCGGATGCCTGAACCCCAGGGGCCCTCCTAGATTCCTCGTGCTCACGCTCATATCCGGACCAGCAGAGGTCCCTCGGCTCTGGTCCTAGCCCCTTCTGAATCTGACCGGTTCCCTAGGAAGGCGAGGCTGTTCCAGGGCCAGCCCACCCTCATCTCTCATCTCTTTCCAGACAACAACCGTCCCTTCTCATTGGTCTGCTTCCACGCCCCAATGTCACCCCTTCAGCCATAACACACACACACACACACACACACACACACACACACACACACACACACACTTCATTTACTACACAGCAGTCAGACTTTTGAAAAACAACTTATGAGATGATGGCTGCCATTCCCCGCCCCCATCCCATGATTCCCCATTATACTGAGATAAATGCAGCCCTCTCAGGCCCATGGAGGCCTACGCCACCTGCCCCCTGCAAACCTCTTTAGCAGCCACTGGTATCACACGTTCCCTCGATGTCTCTGCGCCTCGATCTCATTTTTTTAAAGGTCTTAATTTATTAATCCTCTCATGAAAAGTCTGCACAATCATCACAGGTAAAGCCCTGCAGGGCGTCTGTTCCTTTTTGCCAGCACCCCTGCTGGCTTTTGCGGCCCCTGACCACTCCATTCAGCTTTCGCACGCCTTTCGCTATTTTCCTGAGGTCTTTTTCTTCTCACTCAGGCATGTCTGGCAAGTCTACACTTGGGTTCATTTTTCTGTGCGTAATCCAAGGAATTGTAAATCATGCCAAAGTCAGTTGTCTTGCCACCTCCAAAACGCGTTCTGAATCTGAATACAAAGACAACATCAGGGTGGTCTTGTGTATTTTATCTAGTTTTTCCTGAATGTCTGTCTCAGATCCAGTCATCGTCCCAGGGTGAAGGGTCTCCAAGACCATCTGTCTCCACCGAGGCCATCATGAATCATGGGCTGCCTGGTTCGCAGTTGCTGTGTCCTGAGTGATGGCTGCAGAGCCTGCTGTTCCTTGATCTTGCAAAGCTCAAGACCTGCGTGCTTCTGGAATGTTCTCCTCGGATACCTGCAAGTGTGGCTCCTTTCTGTCTTCAGAGGGGTCTTTGTGACCCTCTCTCTAGAGCAGCCCCCTGCCCCGTCCAGTTCCCTCTCTACCACATTGCTCTGTTTCACTTCCTTCTGGGCTCTGAGACCTCCTGTCTGTTGATTTTTTAATGTAGTCATTATGTCCCCCACTCAAAGTTTAGCTCCAAGAGAGCAGAGGCCCTGCTGATCCTGCCCAAGGGCTCAGCGGGCCCTTGACACTAAGTAGGTACTTAACAACTACTCTGGAATTAATCAATGAATAAACACGGGTACTTCTCTCCTGGGCAGCTCTGCTCTCTAACAGTGCTCTGGAAACAAATCTAATCAGAAAGATGGTGGCCTCTTAGCTTCACTCCCAGATCATTTTCCATCTTACTTTGGCTTCTCATCTGCTCTTGGGGTATGGGATCAGAGACCCGAGAGGTGTCCGTCCGTACTTATTTCCCCCCTACAGCCTCCCTGAAGCTAGTAAGCTCTAACTAAATTTCTAATTCACCAAGTCACTGCTATGGACGTTTCCGTAGCCATTTCGAATGAGAACCACCGAGCCAGTGTTACACCACAGGAGCTCAGCTTCAATCATCCAATTGCAGGCTGGCAGGCTACTATTTGCCGACTGTCAGGAAAGTCGATTCTCTGTGCGCTCTTTTACATGTTTATGTGGATGTGTTCTCTGTTTAGCGGAGGCACAGAGCAAGTGCGTGCTGTGAATTAATCAGGAGACAGCTACTGGAGAAGGACAGAGTGAGCAGCTTTCAATGACTAGTTCCACCAAATCACCACTATGGAAACATCTGGTGAGACAGAAACACTCACTTAGAGGTGGCAGAGGTGTGGGAGGCCTCCTGGGCCAGTGTTGTCACAAGGTGGGTATCCTGACTTTCTAAAGAGATGTCTGCCTCCCATAATGAGTTCATCCACCACCCATGAGTGTACGTGCACATGTGTCCTTCTGGACTTTTCTCTGCATGTTTATGTACAGATTGATGTCGCCGTCATCACACCTCAGGGGTGCAGGAGCAACACACATGCACTGGGGAGAAAATAGTGTTGAGGATCGTGGGTTCAAATTCCTGGACAGTCCCCTAGGAAGGCTCTGTGTCAAGGATTTTTTTGGGAAGGGCTCCAGGAAAAAATTCTCTCACTCCTAAAAAGCCAGCAGCCTGTTTCCACCTTCCAGCAACCAGCTGGGCTCCATCCTGTTTCACTGAGAAGTCCAGGGTGAAACTTCACCCTCCCAAGTAACTTTTACCTTTAAAAATGTGTGTGTGTGTGTGTGTGTGTGTGTGTGTGTGTGAGTGGTTTTCCTAGTGCTAGTTGTTTCTTCCGGTTTAACTAGTTATTGTTGTGCTTTCTGCTGATGCTGCCTTAACTCCGTAGGCAGTGGCTTCTCAGAAGGATGCGTGAACCCTCTGGCAGTACTGAGGCTAACTGGAGCACTTCTCCTGTAACAGGGTGGTCCCCAGGAAAGGGGGAGGTTCCAAGTTTCCTGCCCCACCCAAAAGAGGGGTGGAGCTGAGCAGGGAGAGAAGAAGCTGCAGAGGAGACTGAGGAAGGAAGCAGGATGGAGAGGCAGAAGGAGACCTGGAGGAGGTGCATGGAGCTGAGAGACACGTGAAGAAACTGCGCTTGCCTTTTGGTCGTGGACTGGGTGACACAGATGTGGGTGAGAGACCCGTGGGGAGGTGACCTTGGCGGTTTTTGTCTTGATTTTGATTTTGCTTTTTCCCTCCAGACTTGTCTGGTTGTTTCTGATCCTTTTCTGTGGGTCCCCACTGGAAGATGCTTTAGACTTGTGGCAGGCTTTGGGGCCTTGCTCTGGGCCAATCCTGCTTGGGTGGACTCTTAACCACGAGGGGACGGGTAACTTTGGGTGCTTGATATAGAAACTAGATTCTTTGCCTTTCTTGTATTGTTTCCTAATTGTATGAAAGTTCCTTCCCATTAAAGTCTCGTGTGTTTTGTGTTGATGCGGCGGATGGCAGAACCTATTTAGAGCAGGCAAGTTTGTGGGGTCTGGGCTGCACCTCTCCCTGCCCAGGAACACTCCCAGCCCACATCCTGACTTGATCTTCCTCTACAGGGGACCACCAGCCTGTGGACACTGGAAAGCATTTTAATACAACAGCATTTATATCATTTCAGTCTAAGTCATTTAGTTGACCCAGCAAGACCACTCCTCCCCGGACCCCGTGGAACAACAGACATCTCTTCCATCGCGCCCACAAACTGCTCAGCACAGACAGATGACAGTGGGTTCCACCAGCACTGCAGCCCCGGCAGAGATGGGGATTCTGCACAAAGCCTGCCCCAGCACTGGTGTGGACAGCGGACAAAACCCAGAGAAAAACACGTGGAGCAAAGCACTAGCCCAAATGCCGAATGTCGGGAGGGTCCATTAAAGCCAAGTCAGAGTCAGAGCAGAAGTGCCCCAGGCGGACCTTATCATCCACACCCAGTCTGCGGGGCCACACTGCAGGCACCCAAACTCTAGCGGTTCTGCCATTGGGGAGCACACCCTTGCATGTAGGGGGAACAGCAGCGGAAGCCCCTCATCACCTCTTTGTCCAGAACAGGAGG